TGTGGTGCAGTCAAACTGACAACGGTGGGTGAATAACTATGCTAATGAACAAGCTCTTCAGTCGTGTGAATTCGCTCCCTTGTAACTGTCAGGCTCCCTACCGTCCCCTTTCTTTCAGTTTAAACCAAAATATATAATAGATAGAGCAAGACTGTCCACCTCATGTGTACACCAGTGTTTTGACGTGATAAGACGACAGAATAATAATGAAAATAATACTCCTGGAAGGCGGATCGTCTTCCAGGCATAATAATCCCTCAAAAAAATTACAACAAAATGTGGTTAAATGCAAGGATTATTATTATCCCCCACACTTAGAACCCTCGAATTTAAGGATTTTTACTTGTAAATGTTAATACAATGGAGTTAAGGCTAAGACCAGGTGAAATCTTGGTCCCACCCTAACTCAATAATAATCCTTGAATCTGATATAGCACCTTATCATGTCTTTAAGACGTCTCAAAGCGCTTCACAGAATATACTGTAAAGTGAATTGACTATGTTTTGTGGGCGAAACACTGTGAATGATAATCCCAATTTTTCCATTGCCTAATGCAATCCTTGTGCTGATCAGAACATCCCCGCTGTGATAGTCACTTAGGTACACAAAATCAAGGCTTTCTCGTGAGACTCTACTTAGTAATCTCCAGGAAGGTCATTTCAATCCTGCAATTACAGTGACATTCAAGATTATAAAGTAAATCTGGTGCCAAGGTTACTCACTCGGCGGTAATAAAGAGCAGAGAGCCCGATAAGAAATCATCAACCGTGTTAATCTCGATAATATGTCCAAGGCTCAAGGGTTTGCATTGCGAAGCACAGACTATCCCGATAGGTAATTACACTGCGCTGCTTTTAACCAGAAACTGGTGCCTAACTAATGATCCTGTCGGCCGTTCTTGCTTGTCTGGGTGAGATTCTCAGTTTATAGAATCCTACAGCACGGAAGGAGGCCATTCAGCCCATCGTGCTTGCGCTGGCTCTTTGGAATAGCTACCAACTAGTCCCACTCCCCCACACATAGCCTTGCAAGTTTTTTCATTTCAAGTATTTATCCAATTCCCTTTTGAAAGTCACGACTGAATCTGCTTCCACCACCCTTTCAGGCAATGCATTCCAGATCATAACAACTCTCTGTGTTAAAAAATATTCTCCCCATCTCCCCTCTGGTTCTTTTGCCAATTATCTTAAATCTGTGTCCTCTGGTTACAACCAACAGGATCCTCTCAGTTTAACATCGGTTAAGTATCCGAACAGAGGTTGACCCCGCAGTATTCTGACCCAGAGGTGAGAGCGCTACCAACTGAGCCCTAAAAACCCAAGATCGACTAAGTGGGTCATAATAATCTTTGCCTTTGATAAGCCTTTCTTGTCAGGATGTCTCAAAGCATCTCACAGAATTTACTGTAAAGTGTAGTGAACGTGTATTTTATATGTCAGCCAATTTGCACGCAGCAACGTCCCACAAACAGCCATGAAATAAATCACTATTTTTTTTTCCCCCTCTGGGGGATTGTTGGCTCGGACACAGGGAGAAACTCCCTTCTGCTTTAGAATAGTGTCATGGGATCTTTAATATCCACCTGAACAGGCAGGACGGGTCCTTGGTTTAATGTTCGATCTGAAAGTGCCTCCAATGACATAGCACCCTTCTCCCCCAGCACTGCATTGGGGTGTCTGCCTAGACTTTGAGTTCGAAAGTCTCCCAGAAACAAAGAAAAATACAAAACATTGCAGATGCTGGAAATCTGAAATAAAAACAGAAGTCGCTGGGAACGCTCAGGCAGCATCTATGGGGAGAGGAAAGTGAGCGAATGTTTCAGGTTGATGATCTTTCGTCAGAACACGTTGTTAACGAAATACCAGAAATTGCTTTTTCCATGTGTGAAGTGATTTGAGACGAAATAAAGCGCTGCAACGAACATTATTATTACATTTTGTACTACTACTAATAAAACAACGCGTTGCTTTACAATGCTTAAAGCATTAGAAAGTGGAGTCCTGTAGCTCAGTGGTTAGAGCACTCGCCTCGCGAGTGAGAGGACCTGGGTTCAATTCCTGGGCAGGGAGAAAAGTTGGGCAAGTTTCCTTACTTCACACACTTCTGTTTACCTCGCAGTAAGGAGGGACCCGGTTGTTAGTCGATTGTCAGTAGTATTACCAGCGGTAATAATCCCTTCAAAAAAAACATTTAGTCACTCAAGCCTCCACTGTTTGTGGGACACTGCTGTGCGCAATTGGCTGCCGTGTTTTGCCCACAAAATATACGGTCAATTCACTTTACAGTATATTCCGTGAAGCGCTTTGAGACGTCTATAGAAGACGTGATACGGCGCTAGATCAAATGCAAGGATTATTATTGGTAAAGCAAAATGGGTCAAGAGAGAGTCCACAACATCACTAGGTGGCAGTGTAGTTACATGATGTCAAAATCAAAGCCAATACTTTATTTGGCTCTGACTTAACTTGCATGCAACCAAGGCATTTTAAATTGTATATACTTTATGCTTCGATGGCAATAGCATACATAAGCACTTTGTGTTATACTTATTCTCCTGCATGTGTTATTTCTTACGCTCCTTCAACTGAACAAGATTGATAGGGAGAACGCCTCAACAATGAGTCATCTGCCTTGTCTGGCCTGGCTCCAGAGGAAATGATGTGGGCAAAGTTGTGTGATTACGTGAGACAGTAGATGGCTGAGTTCATAAGAAACACGTCTCAAAATATATGTGTGTTTGCGTCAAGCGGCAAATAGGTTACGTCAAATTTAATAGCTCAGCCATGATCTCATGATGCCGGGTGTCTGACACACGCAGAAACCCATCCCCGTGCTTAAGAGTATCCAAACCAGACTGAGAATTCCCTACATCCCACCTACACATGGAAACCCCAGCGAGAGGTTGTTGGAACGGAATACGCTCTCTCTCTCTCTCTCTCCCTGGAGGGACACATCCTGCTTGTTCCTTATTAATTAATTAATAATTATTATTAATTCGGGAAAGCATCAGGCGCTGGTTGGCAAGAGCCAAGGTTTGGGGACCCCAGAACGTGCATTGGGATAATTACTGGAGCCTAACCGACTAAAACCACATAGTTTGCCATTGAGAGCGCCACCTGGCAAGCTTTCCCGCAGCTTGTCCAGCTCGGACCATTTAGGGCTTTGGCTCGTAGGGTTAACAGGAGCTGAGAATTCCCTGTCTCCGGTAACTTGTCTGTCTTTCCAAGTCCTGCCGACGACCCAGGCTTTGCTGTGCTGTCATCGGCAGTGCCCTGGAATACTTGCCTGGAAAATAAAAAGCTGATTTTTGAATTAAAAAATCTCGGTTGCTTTAAGGAACAAACAGCTGATTCGGTTACAGGGTCCATCGGGCTGAAATGGATAGTAAGACAAAAATCAGCTGCATTTTAATTTCCAACGAGAACAGCTGGAAATAAAAAAAATGGATTTTTTTGTTCTTAATATCTGGCCTCGGTCCTAATGCACTCGGTAACAAAATCAGCTGTTTGTACCTTAAAGTGACCGATACTTTTTGAAGAACGCTAACAAAAACAACAACAAAATTACGTTTGCATAGTGCCTTTCACGTCGGGAGGACGTCCCAAGGCGCTGGAAATATAGTCTGTTCAAAGTTCCTGGCCTGGGAGAGCAAGAGAGATTCAGGGTACTTCCCATCTACTATCTAACCTCTGCAATTCCCTGCTATCCGTCTGTCTCATTTCGCCCTTTATTTGTTCTTCAATCCCATCTTAAACCTACCTCTTCGACTGCTCCTATTGTACCCACCCCTTCTCCCTCGCTTGGGGTCTGATCCCAGTCTGAGACGTCAGCCTACACAAAGTGCGCTATGTAAATGGTGTTGTTTACGCTATGTGGTTGTTAATCAGGACACTCCTTCTACCGTCTCCTCCAAGTTGTTTGAGGCATTCTCCCACACAGTTCACTCTGTGCGAGGTCCTGCTTGTCTGTGAACGAGGCTCATTTGGAGTCCTGTAACTTAGTTGTTGGAGCACTCGCCTCGCAAACGAGAGGACCTGGGTTTGATTCCCGGGGCAGGACGAAACGTTGGGTAAGTTTCCTTACTCCACACGGCTGTTTACCTCACACACTCTCTCACATACACACACTAACTCTCTTACCTAAATAAAATAATTTGGCCACTCAATCCACGTCTGTTTGTGGGACACTGCTGTGCGCAATTGGCTGCCACATTTCACCCACAAATTCCCGGTCAGTTCACTTTACGGTATATTGTGTGAAGCGCTTTGAGACGTCTTGAAGACGTGATAAGGGTCTATATCAAATGCAAGGATTATTATTATTATTATTTGGTAGCACTTCGGGTCAGTATGAAGGATTGGGTACTTGTGTTGTCTTTTGGTGGCTTGAGGTCCCGTCTGCCTGTTTAGGGAATAGTAATAATAATAATCCTTGCATTTGATATAGCTCCTTATCACGTCTTCGAGATGTCTCAAAGCACTTTTTGGCACTTTTTGAAAAGGGAAGGGAGTTTCTTCCAGTTGTCCTGGCCAAAAATTCACCAGATAACATTGGTTGTTGACTTCAATGGTTGCAGTCAGTGATTATATTTGCATTGAGAGTTGTAGAGGAAGAGACACTTTTATCGTATCCGCAATCCACCACATACACACTCTCACACACACGTTCTCTCTCACACACTCTCTCACATACACCACACACACACTCTCTCTCACACTCTCTCACATACACACACTAACTCTCTTACATACACACACACATTTTCTCATACTCTCTCACATACACACACACACACACACTCCCTCACGCGCACATTCAGACACTGTTTCACACACATTCTCTCACACACACTCTCTCTCGCATACACTCAGACACTCTCTCACACACACACTTACCCCTCGAGTAGTCTTGAAGGGCTGAATGCTCCTGTTTCTCTACGTTAATTTCTCTCTCTTTCTTTTAATGTAGATCCTCAGCTGAAGTAGTAAGTGCTCCGACAATGTACCCTGACAGCAGAAGCCAGATAGAAATGGAGCTGGCCCAAAAGGCAGCATCACCAGCAATGGGTCTGAACGGGCATGTCAAGCCTAGAGCCTTGCCCAGCCATTTTGATGACCTCAAGCTGCTGGAGGGTTTCTGCGGAGTCGGGCAAACTCCCAATGCCCCCCAGGGGTACTACCAGAATGGGGCGGTCGCACAAGACCAATGTGTTCTGCACTATGAGGACTTCAGCCCTCTCAACAAACAGGACAGGTTGGTGACTCGCTTAGAATCGTAGGGGTAACATGTATTGGGGTAATACGAAGCTCAGTTGGTTGCATTCTCGCCTCCATCGCAGAAGGTTGTGGGTGTAAGCCCCATGTCAGGACTTTGAGCTCATATAATCTAGGCTGACACTCCAATGTCAGAGGTGTCGTCCTTTGGATGAATCATTAAACGGAGGTCTCATCTGCCAGTTCAGGTGGATACCAAAGATCCCGTAACGGAACCTGAAAAGAAAAGAGAATTTATCCCACATGCGGATGAAATTGATCACTCATTTCACGGCTATTTGTGAGAACATTGTTGTGTGCAAATTGATTGGAATTTGGGCCTCAATTATCCAAACCAGTTGTAGTATTTCCAAAGGAAACAGTGAGGTTCTGGGTGTAGAACAGCAACAACTTGCATTGATGCAGAACCCTTTACACAGGGTAGTGCCTTGGTGCCCTTAAATGAGGGAAGTTAAAGTGTTAATTGATTGCTTTAAAAGTAAAAAAAACACAATAATAGAATAAAAGTCAAAATTAAAACAGCATAACGACTCAGAGAATGGAGGGAGAAGAAAAAGGAGGTAAACAAGATGCAAAGTTACAACTTTTGCGAAAATTGCTTCCAGGCGTGTGTTTTTATACGTCCAGGATTGACGTTAAATGGTGTAATAAAAGTAGCCGGCAATTTGGGTCTGATGTAGAAAATTTCTTACCAGTACTTTTTAGTAACAAATCAAAATTTAGCAAATGGGGTAAACTCAGGTACAATACAGTTTATCAAATGCTTCTCAAGTCATCTCAAAGTGCTTCACTCTGACTCGGGTATGTGATTCATGTCAACCTGCGCAAATCCATTGACAGTCAGCCTTTGTCGCCCCAAACTTTTGGAACTCCATCCCACATTCCCCTCGCCTCCCTCCCTTGCCTCCTCCAACACTCTCCTCTTCGACTGCGCCTTCAGCCATCCTCCGACCCCCACCCTCCCTGCCCTCCACCCTTCCTGATCCCAATCCCCAGCTCGGGTCCAAATCTCTGAATGTCCAGCGCCGAGGGATGTCCTCCTGACGTGAAAGGCGCTGAGTAAATGTCATTTGTTGTTGTTTTTGTTGAAACTTGCCCTCTGTGCTGTCACTTGTACATGAGGCTGTAAATAATAAAGTAAGACTTAGATTGGTATTGTGTCAATTTTGTCTCTGTTGGCTGTATAGATCCTCAGCAAGCAAAATTAAACCCCAAATAACCTAGAGCCTGACGTTGGGCCTATAACCTTACAAAATAGGATTACTCACCTCAAGGGGAAAACAATGGCGGAGCTCAGACACTGAGTGACAGAAACCCACTAACCTGGGGTGGGGGATACCTGCTGGGTCAATTAAGAAACAGTTTGATGCTGTGATGGGAGGATGGTAAGGTGGATATTCTGGAGGGATGAGATCAAATGGACAGAAAGGTCTTCTTCATCTGAGCCACTCTTGTGACATATACCTGGGGTTTTACTGTGCAGAAGGGTAAATATATAAATGCGCGTTGTTGTTGTTGTTGTGTATGGAGCAGTGGGTTCTGCTGTATGGCAATGGGAAAGTCCTGATTTTAGGTGCGAGCCTTAGCCCGTACCTTGCAAGCTTTAGAACTGGACCAACCGACAATCATATGGTACCCAAGCCTGCATGAAGTGCGGCTGTGTTTACCAATGTCTTGTGTCTTTGGCAGCAGTTTGCTGTGATGAGTCCGGGGCTGTTATATGGCTTTGCACAGAGCAAGGAGCAGGTGCTTCAGGTATCGGGCAGAGTTAGGCTTCTTTTGTTCTTCTATGAAATGCCAACTCACTGTCAATGTGGAGTCCTGTAGCTCAGTGGTTAGTGCGCTCGCCTCACAAGCGAGAGGACCCGGATTCGATTCCTGGGCGGGACGAAACCTTGGGCAAGTTTCCTAACTCCACTCCTCTGTTTACCTAACAGTAAGTAGGAACCCGGTTGTTAGTCGTTTGGTGGCTTGTTTTCCGCGGGTAATAATCTCTTTAAAAAAAACAATAATAATTTGCTCACCAGATCCACGACTGGGTCACTGCTGTGGGCCTTGGCTGCCATGTACGTCCCACCAAAATACACAGTCACTCCACTTTACAGTGTAAACTGTGAAGCGCTTTGAGACGTCTCAACAACGTGATAAGATGCTATATCAAATGCCAGGATTATTATTATTATTGTTATTATTATTATCCATAGGACAGCATTTATGCAGTCCTTTACCCAGCATTGCACCTGAGCATCAGCCTAGACAGTGACCAACAGCAACAACTTGTATTTATATAACGCCCCTCATGCAGGTTAGCGAGAGCTTGACAGTGGCTGAGCACGATGCTGAGCCAGGGGTGGGGGGGGTAGGGGGTGGAGGGGAAAGGGAAAGTGTCTGTAAGCACGATCGAAGAGAAAGGTCCTTAGAAGCGATCTGAAGATGGGGAAGGAGGGAGCAAGGTGGAGGGATTGAGAAAGAGTTTGAACAAAGCCCGGGATGCGGAGCTTGAACCTGACAATGGAACGAGAGCGCTAGCAAAGGAGTCAGTCAGGCTGACACCTAATGGCTTTACATTTAGCTCTTACATTTTAAAAGAGAAAATAAAAATGTTCCTGGAATCGAGCTCAGTAGAATTGCGCGCCGGTCGCATGTTCCTCTTCCTTCCTCTTCTTCTCAATTTAATTTTGTACCATTCAGAGTGAATCTTTGCCTTAAGAGCCTTTTCCCTGAGCACTGCAGCCGCTGCTTAATGAGACGACTGAGAAAAGAATTAATAAGATTCATTCCCTGAGTGTTTCTATTCTGGAGTCCTGGTCCCTGGGTTAATACAAGTGGCGTCCGCTTCCATTACCGAGCTCTTCGCAGCTGTGTGAGAGAACGGAAGGGAATTACAGGCCCCGGAACGTAGCCTGTAATCTGTTTACCGTGTGAGTGATACCTTCAACTGTGCATTCAATCACTGTGGCTTTCCATTAACACAATCAGAACTCCCACAGCCTTTAGTTGGCTTTGATGTTACAATGTGATTATCCACCGAGTGCCTCATTTGTAAATGAGTCTGTCTTTGCCTCCGATGGTTCTCTATTTTGTTTCTTGACTGGGACATGTAACAAGTAAATAGAATAATAGTCCTTGTGCTTGATATGGCCCTTCATGCACATACACCTCCCTATCTCTCCAACCTGCTTATTCCACAACCTGACACCCATTGCTTGAACTCGCCTGGCTCCAGCCGCATACCCTCCGTTCCACCATCGAATGCCGCACTTTCAGTCACTACACACTGAAACTCTGGAACACTCTCCCTCAATCCCTCTGCCTTGCCCCCTCCATCCCCATTGTCAGGTCCTCTTCGACCTTGCCTAAGGTCACTTCCCCCCTCCCCTTGGCTCAGTGTCACTGTTAAGCGCTCTGGAATGCTACCCTACATAAGGGGGCGCTGTATAAATCCAAGCTGCTACGTTGTCTTATTGCGTTTGGAGGATGCCTCAAAGCACTATGTAGGATTTTACTGTAAAGTGTGGTGTCTGTGTGTTTTGCAGACAAATGCAGCAGCCATTTTCCCCATTACAATGCGCTACAAAGTTGTACGCAGAGGTCTACAAGATGTTATATTGAACAGAGAAAGATTGCTTCTAGTCGGCCAGACATGTGCGCAAACCTATTGTCGAGCTTAAGAGGATCCCAGACCAGACTGAGAGTTCCAAGTGTTCATGGAAACATCCAAATGTCTGGAATTGACTGTGCATTCTCTCACTCTCCTTATCCAATTCTGGAAGTCACAGTTGGCACGACTTGGGGGACAAGACCAGAGAGAGCGTTGGAGTACTGAAGTTTACCCAGCTAAAACCACACAGATTGACATGGTGAACACTCGCTGTTCCCTTTGCTTGCCCAGCTAGGAGCACCCAAACCATTAGGGCTTTGACTTGCAGAGCAAGTAAAGTAAGTTATCGACCTGGCTCAGTTGGACATCAAAAATTCAAAAAGAGAAGGGAGTTTCTCCCGGTTTCCTGGCCAAGAAACCTCCAGATAAAAATTGGTCATTCACTTCAAGGCTGTGTTAGAGTCTCCCCCCACTGATCTCCAGCACCCCAGGATGATGCCCTGCCCACACCCTTTGGAACTCCAAAGCCACTCTCAATTTGCCTTCCCCCCCTTCCTTTGCCTCCTTCAAGGCCCGTCACAAGACCCTTCTCTTCGACCGTGCCTTCAAACACCCTCCTACCCCTACTCCTCCTGATCCTAACCCCCAGCTCGGGTGCAAATCCTTGATTGTCTGGCACCTTGTGAGGTCTTCCCAACATGAAAGACGCTGTGTAAATGTAATTTGTTTTGTTGTAGTTCTATTCCTTGTTAGCTCCTTGATATCCACTTTTGCCTTTTTTACCCCTTTACCTCTGATGCTTTCTTTAATTTCTCCCTCATCTTGTTTTTTGCCACCCCACTGCCATATTAGTAATTCTCCCAGCAAGGAGATTGCTCAGGTGTAGTTCATCTATCCTGTACAGTTCTGTAGCTCAGTGGTTAGAGCACTCGCCTCGCAAGTGAGAGACCTGGGTTTGCTTCCCGGCAGGGCAAAATGTTGGGGCAAGTTTGCTTAGTCCACACGCCTCTGTTTATCCAGCAGTAAGTAGGAACCCAGTTGTTAGCCAATTGGCGGATTGCATTTCCGGGGGTAATAATGCCTTTAAAAAAAAGTAATAAATTGTTCACTCAATTCACGGCTGTTTGTGAGACACTGCTGTGCCCAATTGGCTGCCGCGTTTCACCCACAAAATATACAGTCAATCCACTTTACGGTGTATTCTGTGAAGAGCTTTTAGACGTCTCGAAGATGTGATAAGGCGCTATAGCAAATGCTAGGATTATTATTATTATTACAGATCACACCTGCCCCAGAATTGGTTCCAGTGTCCCAATAATCTAAACCCTCTAAAGTCACTCAACTTCAGGGCTGTTTGAGGGACACTGCTGTGTGCTGTGCGCAATCACGTGGTGATGCTTCTGAAGCTCTTTGGGACATCCTCCTGACACCGAAGGTGCTCTACCGAATATGAGAATTGTTAATAACATTTAATCTCAGGACAGCAAATCCCAAAGAAATATTATTAATAACAAACCGGGAAGCGAAATGAGAAAAATAAAAATAAACCCGGTTACAAATAACTGGGAGCGAGAGCAACAATAAAACCCAAATGATTTCCAAACCAATATAGCTTATTGAAGGTGAATCGCAGAAGAGGAAATTAACTTTAAATGCATTATCGGAAATTAAAGATGAGATTGGAAAAAAAATCTTTTTACACAGCGGGAGTTGGGGAGTAGAATTCTCTGACACCAATTATTGTTTGAAGCAGAGTCCAAACTCAAACAGCTCCACTGCCCAAAAAATCCAACTGCTCCAAAACTCCACCGCCCGTATACTCACCCACTCTAAACTCCTACCCCCATCACACCAGTCTTCGCCAGGCTTCACTGGCTCCTTATCACTGAACGGATCGACTTCAAGGTCTTCACACTCGTCTACCAATCCCTTCACACTCCCTACCTCTCCAACCTGCTTTCTCCCCCCACCAACACTTGCCACCTCCGCTTGGCTGGTTCCTGTCTGCTGCTTCTACCTCGTCCCCTCCGATCCACCATCGGTGGCCGTGTTTTCAACCACGACATTGCTGTTTGCAAAATTGCTGCCGCATTTACCCATAAAACACACAGTCACACAACGCAAGGTCCTGCCTTCCTGAAAGGTGCTAAATCAAATGCAAGGATTATTTTGTATTTCGCCCACAAAATACACAGGCGATTCACTTTACAGTATATTCTGTGAGGCGCTTTGAGACATCTCGAAGACGTGATAAGGCGTTATGTCAAATGCAAGGCTTACTATTATTACTTTCCAGACCTGGAAAATTAGGAGGGTGATGGGAGGAAGGAAGAGAGAGGAGGGTGAGAGAGAAATTAGGAGGGAGTTTGAAAGAAAACACTGCAGGCAGAGTGAATCTCCCCCTCAAAGGATAGTGAGTACAGTTAGCTTTGATCTTCAGCCCACACAAATGAGCAGGAACCATACTGTCTGACTAACTATATTATGTACTTAATAAATCATCCATTCAGCTGTGTTTTTGGGGTTGGGTCATTTGTCTTCCACTGGATATAACTTCACATTCCTGTAAATCAATTCCACGTTCCGGACAGCAATTAGAATACTTTTTAAAATATATATAAATATGTATAATAATAATAGTCCTTGCGTTTGATATAGCGCCTTATCATGTCTTCGAGCCGTCTCAAAGCGCTTCACAGAATGACACTGTAAAGTGAATTGGCTGTGTATTTTGTGGGCGAAACACGACAGCCAATTGCGCAAAGCAGCGTCCCACAAACAGTCGGGGATGAAAACAAATGCTTTTAGTGCAACCAGCCCAGCATTAACATTCCAGTCAGTCACTAGGCAGAGGGAATGTGAGCCAGTTTTCGGGGAAGGTTTGAAGTTGAAACGAGACCCAGAGCCACCGAGGGGCAATATCGCAAATTCATCCTGACGTTGGGATCTCAGAGACAAGCTTTTAATTAGAAATATTAAACGTCGCTTTCAAAGAAAAAAAAACGGGCCATTGGAAGATGACTCTCTTCGTCACTGGCAATTAAATTTCTCTTCCAGCTGAGGGACATGTTTAGCCTGAGGTTCTCCAACCCCCCCACCCACCACCACCTGCCTCCCAACCACCCGTCTGCTTGTGTCAGGCAGACATTGAGGAAACGCCGTGATGCTACTAATACAATAATATTCCTTGCATCTGATCTGGCGCCTTTGACGTAAGGAGGATTTCCCAAAGGGCTGGACAGTCAGGGATTTGGACCCGAGCTAGAGGTTGGGATCAGGAGAGATGGGGGGCAGGGAGGGTAGGAGTAGGAGGGTGATCGAAGGCGCGGTCGAAATGGAGGGTCTCAAGATGGTCTTGAAGGAGATAAAGGAGGGTGCAAGGAGAAGGGGCTGTCAAATGTTCCAAAGTGTAGGGGTAATGATGCATTTTGTAGGCCTGGCGTGAAGGGTGCTACATAAATGCAAGTTATTGTTATAGGCAAACACTTTGCGCACAGCAATGTCCCACAAACAACCATGATGTGAATGACCCATTTTATCTGGGGGATTGTTTCAAATATTTCACGGGCGCAGTAACTGGAATGAATCACTGAATCAGATCTGAATCCAAGCCTCACAAGAGATAAAGAGAATTCATTAAACTCCATCACTGTACAGACTGCGTCGTTCAAAATCTCTGCGTTTCAGATATCGTAAGAACTCGAGGAAATACCCCATCAATCTATAAATAATGCTTGCATTTAATATACAGTGACATTATTCACGTGGAGAGGGCACCTCTAAGTGTTTGAGAGGACACACTGGAAAATGCAGTGGCTATGTGTTTTGTAAGCAGGTAATAACCACAGTAAGTTGCGTTAATATAGTTCCCCTCACACAGGATAGCGTCCCAGAGCACTCGACTGTGGCAAATCATGACACTGAGCCTGGGGGAGGGTCTTCAGGTGTGATCTGAACAGTGTGAAAACAATAGCCAAGTCTTACAGTTGACTTGTTAAACAGTTAGGTAACCAGAAGCATGTTAATATCCAGGATAAAAATATGTACAGTAACTATGTCAGGTGCAGTAATGTATTTAATATAGAGCCTTAATAATGATAATAATTCTTGTATCTGACAGAGTTACTGTGTATTGCAATTTGCACACAGTAATGTCTCGCAAATAGCCATGAAGTGAACGACCAATTTTATTTTGGCGATTGTTGCAGCACAGACACGATGGATTGAATGCCTTTCTTCTGTGCCGCAAATTTCTATGGCTCCCTTCTCTTGTTAAGTGTTAATTATCAGATCACTGGGCGGCAATTTTAAACGCACTGTAAGACTTTACTGCCGGTTTCATGCTGAAATGTGAGATGTTTCCTGGCCAACAATCCCCTAGATAAAATCTGGTCATTCACTTTGTGGCTGTTTGTGGGGCATTGCTGTGTGCAAATTGCTATGCACAGTAACTACACTTCTCAGTAAAATATAATGGAGCTCTTCGTAAAACATAATGGAGTCATTCTCCTGACACGTAAGGAGCTATTTCAGATGCTATTATTATTATTATTATAATAATCCTTGCATTTGATGTAACGCCTTTCACGTCTTCCAGACCTCTCAAAGCATTTCACCCAGGTCTCTCGCTTGCGAGGCAAGTGCTCTAACCACTGAGCTAATAATTATCATTATTAAGGAACTATATTGAATGCGAGGATTATTATTTGCCTACAAAATACACAGTCACTGCACTTTGCAGCTTATCCTGTGAAGCGCTTTGAGATGTCCTTCTGATTTAAAGGCTCTGCATCAAACGTAATGTTTATTTATTTAGTGGATAAACGAGCGAGTTCCACAATAAGCGTTTTCACTAAATCTTCACTTCAGGTTTCACTCCACTGTGTCCAGAAAACTCTTCAACAGCCAGACACACGGCAACACTTTCAGTGATAAGACCCCTTTGCTGTCGTCGGAAGGGACTGGGTAAGTGCAGTCAATGTTCGAGACGCTATCCCACGTAAAGGTTGCTATACAATGGATAGTGCGCTCACCTCGCAATTGAGTGGACCCGGGTTTGATTCCCGGACGGGATGAAACCTTAGGCAAGTTTCCTTACTCCACACGCCTCTGTTTACCTAGCAGTAAGTAGGAACCCGGTTGTTAGTTGATGGGTGGATCGCTTTCCGGGGTTAATAATCCCTCCAAAAAAATTAATTTGGTCACTCAATCCCTGACCGTTTGTGGGACACTGTTGTGCGCAATTGGCTGCCGCGTTTCACCCACGTCCACTTTACAGTGAAGCACTTTGAGACATCTCAATCACGTGATAAGGCGCTATCTCAAATGAAAGGATTATTATTATTACAAATACAAGTTGTTGCTGTTGTAAGTGGACTACGTGTAGTTAAGTACAGGAGAGAGAAAATCTGTTACCAAAAGTTGAGCAGCAAAGTAAGCTTGGCCACCAAGGAAGCCCAAGAAGACACTGGAGGAGTGTCCAATTTGCAGTGTTTCTAAGCAGCAGGTTTTCTTTCCATAGCCCCGTTCCCACACCAGGCTCCAAGAGACTATCACCCGTACCCTCACCCAGCTCTACTGGCTCCCCATCCCCCTGTCGATTGAGCTCAAGATCCTCGTTCTCACCTTTAAATCCTTCCAACAGTCTGGCCCCAACCTACCTCTGCAACCTGTCAAACCCTACCACTCGGCGTTGGGCTCCACCATTGTTAAGCGCTCTGAGACGTCACCCAACTTGGAGGGCGCTATATAAGTGCAAGTTGTTGTCGTTGTTGTTGTTGACCTCCCCACTCCCTTCGCTCAACGAACACCACCTGCTTCTCACCCTCCTACGCCCTACCCTTCTCGCCTCAACACCTCCTGATCCCAACCCCACTGCTCGGGTACTAATCCCTGACTGCCGAGCGCCTTGGGAAGTCCTCCCAACGTGAGAGGCGCTTTACAAATATAATTTGTTGTTGTTGTTATCCACACAACATGCCCCACCATGGTCAGTCGGGTTTGCAGTCTTTCTGCCTTTGCTCTCTGGAACTCCATCTCAGTGTCTCTCTGACTTGCTGCCTCGTTCAAGATCCGCACTAAACCTATATCTTTTGATCATCTTTCTCCTCCCCCCGTGACTGCACAATTTGACCTAAGCCTGTCTGATTTAGGTCACTATGACATTAACATTCAGTTTTTTTAATCACTGTTATTTAAACCAACGGTGCCCCTGACATACATTTCTATCTTAAGTCTGAACTCTATTCTACAATCACCCACAATAACAGTATAACATGGCACTTCGAGCACAGCCCATTCCCACCAATATTAAAGGAAAAAAAAATCAATTATTCTGTATTAATGAGCTATTTCGTTACTTAGGTCAATTTAATTCGGTGCCAGTTCATTTTTTCTCGCCGCGGATTCCCACTGCCGAGACGGTCATAGGGATTATACCTTCACTGTTCGAGGAATTAATTACACAATCAACTCCTGTCAGTTGTTAATAAGCAGCCCTCTTGCTCAGTAAACCCTAATTCGGTCGATGTGACTTTTGCATGTAAAAGAAAATGCCTTTTCATTAACATAGGAGTTGGTCAGGCGCGGACATGAACGGAATATTTTTGTTGTCGAATGCCTTGCTCATAGCAGCTCTCCCACGCAGTCTATTTTGTTGGTGAAATGTACAATGCATTAGGAACTTTCCAAACTTTTTACTTTCTCCACCACCACCCCCGCCTTTGTGATTTTTAGTAAAAAAAAAGCTTATATCGGTTCTATTTTTATGACTTTCCGTTTCAATCGCTGAAGCGAAGCAAAAAGTTGAAACAAAACAATGGATCAATGTATTCAACAGAAAACTCAAAGCATACATGAGAAAGAAGCAAATAAATGGGTATAGGTAGAGGGGATTAGCCGGGTTTATGTAGACTGGTGCAGACTAGTTATAATAATAATAATAATCCTGGCATTTGATATAGCGGCTTATCATGTCGTGGAGACGCCTCAAAGCGCTTCACAGGATATACTGTAAAGTGAATTGACTGTATATTTGTGTGCGAAACATGGCAGTCAATTGCGCACAGCAGCGTCCCACAAACAGTCGTGGATTGAATGATCAGATTTTTTTTTGAAGGGATTATTACCCCTGGAAAAGCGATCCACCGATCCACTAATAATCGGGTTCCTGTTTACTGATAAACAGAGGCGTGTGGAGTCAGGAACCCTGCCTCGGGGTTCGCCCTACCTGGGAATTGAACCCGGGTCCTCTCGCTTGCGAGGCGGGTGTTGTAATTAATACGATACAGGAAGCTCAAGATTAATTAATTTGGTCGCTCAATCCCTCACTCTTTGTGGGACACTGCTGTGCACAATTGGCTGCATCTTTTTTCATCCACAAAATATACAGTCGATTCACTTTATAGTATATTCTGTGAAGCGCTTTGAGATGTTTCAATGACATGATAAGGCGCTATATCAAATGTAAGGATTATTTCATATTATACATCTTGGGGGGAGGAGGGGGCGGGGGGCGCTCAGGGTGGGGGGAAGCCCCCGGAAATGAATCCATCCTGTAACCATGTTAAGTATCTTAAACCCATAATTATCTCAGAAGTAAGTTTGTTATAAATTGAGACTGAACGCTTCTTCATTGCTGTCACGAATAACCATGAAGATGAACGATCCATTTAAAGAGCTACATCGTAGACGTCATTGGAATGTGTATTACCAGTCGGTGCTTGTTAACTAACACCATGAATTAATAGGATTCTTAGTGTCTCTCAATCCCTCTGAGTTAATTTGAAAACAATTCAGTACAATTAGGACCCAACTTTATAGTGTTGGCTAAACAAATATAGTGTTATATTAATACTAACAAACCATTTTTTTGGTTAAGTGTTCCTGAAAGCTGAATTGATGGGATTCATGTCTCGGCTTGAGTTCCCATGATCTATTAGATTGTTTTGTAGGAGGCAATGCATGAGAGATCAGTCACTCGAATTTTGCATTCATTCCAAAGAGTACTTGTGTTTGTGAAGCTGGGCAAAAATGTATTGCTGTCTCTGTGCGGAATTGGATTTGTAAAATTTCTCGGTGTGATATTATCTACCGTTGGTGTAGGATGGTGGATAATTGCTTCTGTGTATGAGCATGATAAGGGCACAAGAATATGCCTGTTAAACATGGTCATGTGCTGTTGTTTTTTCTCCCTGTTATGATCTTGCGATTACCATATTCATGTAAAAGGTTTCATGGTTGTGTTTGCTGCATTTTCTTCTTGGATTTTTATAGGTGTCAGTCTGCCTCAGTTGCTAGCGCTCGGGCCTTTGAGTCAGAAGGTTGTGGGTTCAAACCCCACGTTGGGACTTTGAGCTCACAGTCCAGGCTGATATTCCAGTGCAGTGCTGGGGGGGTATTGCATTGTTAGAGGTGCCGCCCTTCGGTTGAGATGTTAAATTGAGATCCCGTCTACCGGTTCAGTTGGATGTTAATGCATCGGTGGCACTACTTGAAAAGAGAATGCAGTTGCTAAGGGAAAAAATAGGGAGAAATGACTGGTGGGTGAATCAGTGAGTATAACAACAAGAACTTGGATGTATATAGTGCCCTCCATGCTGGACGGCATCTCAGAGCTCTTCACAGTAATGGATCCCGGGGCCGAGCCAGGGGGAGGAGCCAGGGGGAGGGAGAGGAGCCAGGGGGAGGGAGAGGAGCCAGGAGGAGGGGGAGGAAGGTGACCAAAGGCGCGGTCAAAAAGAAAGACCTGAAAATAGGAAGGGAGGGAGCGAGGCGAAGGGAGTGAGGACGGCAGTTCCAGAGCCGCGGGGCATAGTGGCTGAAGGCACAGCCGCCGAGGGTGGAGCGGAGGACTCAGGGGACGAGGAGGAGGCCAGACTCGGAGGAACGAAGGCAACGGGTACTGTTTTGAGGAGAGAGGAGGTCAGAGAGGTCGGGGGTGCAGAGGGGTGCAGGGACTTGAATACAAGGGTGAGGATCTTGAAGTCGATCCTCTCTGGGATAGGCAGCGAGTGCAGTCTGGCCAGGACTGGGGGGATCGGGGAGCGGAGTTTGGTGCGGGTGAGAATGCGGGCGGCAGAGTTTTGAATGATCTGGATTTTATGGATGGTGGTGGAGGGGAGACCAGCGAGGAGGGCGTTAGAGTAGTCCAGCCGAGAGGTTTCAGCTGCTTTCGGAGTACAGAGCATCAATATAAGGTAACTAGCAAATGGGGATGTTAGGAGAATTGTTTTCTCGCAGAGTGGTCCAGGATATGGATTGCCCAACACGGAGCTGTGGTTGAAGCAGAATCCATATTATTTATTCCTCTAAAAAGGAATTCGATAGATATCTAAAAGGGAATACATTTCAGGGGTTTGTGGAAAAGGCAGGTAAATAGGACCGATAAGATTGCTCTTTAAGCAAGATGACACAGACGCGATGGGCCAAATGGCCATCTTCTCTGCTATAAATTTCTAAGGTTCTCTTGATATCCTGACCAACAATCTCCTAAATAAAATTGGCCATCCACTTTCACGGCTGTTTGAGGGAGACTGCTGTGCACAAACTAGCTGCTGAGTTCACCTACAGAATAAACAGTTCCTGCATCTTACAGTAAAATCGCGTCTCAAATGTAAGGATTATTGTGCAACGTAATGTTTCCAATTCTTACTTAACTCCTTCCATTAACAAGAAAGGCATAAGAAAGCATGATCTCAATCCATAAGAGGTGACCTACTCCAGTTTCCTTAGGAAATCACCAGGTATTACAGCGCTTTATCTCAGAAAAGGCTGTTTCATAATCACAATGAGCAAACTTGATCGATGCAATGAAAATGATCGCAATTGATGGAAGTGTCAAACCACAGAGGGTTGATGTCTACAGATCTATTGCCAGTCACCGATCATCTGTTGCTGATTCTAGTGGAGTTCTGTAGTGTATTGATTAGAGCATTCGCCTCGCAAACGAGAGAATCCGGGTTCGATTCTTGGACAGGATGAAAGGTTAGGCAAATTTCCTTAGTCCACATGCCTGTTTATCTCGCAGTACGTAGGAACCCGGTTGTTAGTTGATTAGCGGATCACTTTCTAGGGGTAATAATCCTTTTTGAAAAAAAATAAATGAGTAAAAATAGTAATAATTTGGCCATTCAATCCACGATTGTTTGTGGGACGCTGCTGTGCGCAATTGGCTGCTGTGTTTCCTCCACAAAATACACAGTTGATTCACTTAACAGTATATTCTCTGTAGCGCTTTGAGACGCCTCAACGACATGATAAGGTGCTATATCACATGCAAGGATTATTATTGATAATTATTGATACTATTATTGATCATTTCTTACGGTCCCGTCGCTCAGTGGACAGGCAACATACTGTAGACCTTGGAAATGTTGACGACTGTGTAAATGTTGTGTGTTTTTTCCCTGTCATTTCAGAAAAAGCTATCTGGCTTTACATGCAGTGGAGTATTCAGCTCCTGATGAAACGTGGGAGAGCAGCTCTTTTGAGTCGGAACAAAGGGGTCGGCTGGGGAGCGAGATTGGCAGCCTTTCCCAATCTACCTCAACCGAGAAATGTGACCTCCTGGATAGTTTCCACTTGAACTTTACCCTCTCCAAAAACTTTAGGTAACCAGCCAGGCTCTGCCTTCTTATGGCCTTGCTTTCTGCGTTAGTGCAATGTTAGATTATTCTTCTGTTAACCAAATTTTTAGGAAAGTACCTGTAAGAAGATCCCTACTAGTCTTCCTCTATATTTTGTGAAGCGCTTTGAGACGTCTCGAAGACGTGATAAGGCGCTATAATCAAATGCAAGGATTGTTATTATATATTTATTCCGGATTTTAATCAATCTCATGCTACCAAGTGTGAAGGGCACTATAGCTATGCAAGCTGGTATTCTTGTCGAAACATTTTTGAGTGTCTGGACTGGCAAGGTTAACAGTACACCAAATATAAGGTGTTATATGAACCTAATAGGACCTCTCTACTTCTATACTCTATTCCTATGGTCACAAAGCCATTTCTTGGTGTATGTAAAGAAATCGTAGAATTATACAGCACAGAAGGAGGTCATTCGGCCTATCGTGTCTGCGTCGGCTCTTTGAAAAGAGCTATCCAATTCAATCCCACTCCGCCGCACTCTCCCTATAATCCTGTCTGACACACGCAGAAACCCATCACCGTGCTTAAGAGTATCCAAACCAAGCTGAGAGTTCCACACGTATGTACATCATCTACACATGGAAATTTACATCAGTCTGGAATAGGTTGCGCATTTTTTCTCACTACCTCCCAAGGTTGAGGAGAGCCAAGACTTGGGAGACCGTAGAGTGTGTGTTTGGGTACTGGTGGCATCTAACCAGCTAAATTGATTTCAAGATCCTCTCACTCGTTTTCAAATCCCTTCATGCCCTCGCACCTGCCTACCTCTCCGATTTACTTACCCCCATTCCCCCAACCGCTGCCTCCTCTTGGCTGGCTCCGGCCTCCTTTTCATCCCTCATCCCCTTCCCTCCACCATCGGAACTCTGGAACTCTCTCCCTCAATCCCTCCGCTTGCCCCCTCCCTCCCGCAAATCCCGCCTAAAAACCTTCCTTCTTGATCATGTTTCCGGTCACTTCGCCTCTCCCTCTTGTAAACCCACAAAGCATGCGATTCATAGCTAGCAAGCTTCGCGATGCTTGTCCCAGCTAGGACCACCCTACCCCTTCGGGCTTTGGCTTGCGGAGTTAGCAGGAGCTGAGAGGGAAGAATCCCTAACCCCAGTCTGCCTTTCCGGGACCTATCGGGCTGGCTAGGAGGAGGACAGAGAGCGAGATGGAGACAAGGACAGATACAAGGGGGTATTATGAACTTTTTGAACGTGTTGATTAATGCCCCCAACACAAGGCTCTCGGTAGCTTTATGAAACGTGGAGAGCGCATTAATTATGCCGCAAGGAGCAGCCATTAATAAAAGCCCTAATTGGATTCATTAGAAAATTGACTTTCTCCTCGAGCACTAAAATGGAAATGGAATGAAGCGTGCTAATGGAGTGTGTTGTTGGGGTCATTTGCATATCCAAATTGCATTGCTTTTACAAAATAGATTTTCCTGTATAAATCACATAATCTCTGCTGCACAGCAGATATGCCATGTTGCTTTTGTGCTGTAAGTAAACCTACTCCTGTTGTCTTTTATTTGTTATTTGTCAGCTTCTCTGTTCCATTGTTCGTCACATCCCTTGAATGCATTAAAATGTTTCGTTCGCAATGCAATACAAATTTATATTTATTCAGCGCCTTTCACGTGGGGAGGATGTCCCGAGCAGTTGGATGGTCTTACGTTTGCATCTGAGCTGGGGGTAGGGGTCGGGCTGTAGTGGGGGTGGGGGGTGGGTAGGGGGTAGGTGGGAATATATGAGCTATCAAAGGGAAGGTCTTATAATTATAGTAATAATAATCCTTGCATTTGATATAGCGCCTTATCACGTGGTTGAGATGTCTCAAAGCTCTTAGAATATACTGTAAAGTGGAGTGACTGTGTATTTGTGGGCGAAACTCGGTAGCCAATTGCGCACAGCAATTCCTACTTACAGGTAAATAGGGGCGTGCGGAGGAAGGAAACTTGTCTAAGGTTTTACCCTGCTGGGAAATCAAAGCCAGGTCCTCTCGCTTGCAAGGCGAGTGTTCTAGCCAGTACCACTGGGACCTTTTTAACAGCGATTCTTTTAGATATCTATCTAGTTCCCTTTTGAAAGCTAATTTATAATATGCCTCAACCACTGTCTGAGCATTCCACATGCTAACAATCTTGTGCATGGAAAAAAATTCTCCCAAATTCTTTTTTTTTTAAAAACTATCATAAATTGATACCCTCTGAGGTATAGATGGGTACAATCTGGAATGAGATTATATCAAATGCAAGTTTTTCTTGTAAAATACCGTATTATTTTGCATTGAGATGCTGTTGGAGTCAATAATGGGTACTGGCATTGGTCTGTTGTAATATTCTTATTTACTGCGTCTCTCTGTCCCTTTGTGTGTGTTGTGTGTGGGTGTATGTGTGTGTGTGTGTGTTTTTTTACAGGTGCGTTTTAAGAGCCCTGAAGATTTCAAGCCTCTTTATCTTCGTCGTGGTTTGCTCAGTAAGTGTTCGGGAGCTTGAAAATATATTGAATTGCGCCTATTTTTTTCCTCTCTCCTGGAATTCTGTGCAGGAAGTGCCACCTCAACCTGTACCTTGGGGCGTCCTCCCGACGTGAAAGGCGCTATTCAAATGGAATTGTGTATTGTATTTTGTATTGTATCTTTTTAAAACCCCCATTACATTGCCCCCTCCCCAACAACACACTCCTAATCTCTGGACTTACCTCCCTCGATCCCTCCGTCTTCCCCCCACCCCAATCTATCATGTCCTAGCTGGTCCCATCAAACACTGGTCTACTTAATGTCCCCCCCTTTATCCATTTCACCAACGGTGGGTGAACTCTCAGTCCATCTGACTCACTCCTTCGCCCTCCCCACACTCAAATCCCGCCTAAAAACTTTCCTTTATGACCGTGCTTATGGTCACCTCCCCCCTCCCTCTCCCCCTGGCTCGGGGTCAGACTCCGCAACTGTCAAGCTCTCCGGGACACTACCCCGCATCGAGAGAGCTATATAAATGCACGTTGTTGTTGCTCCCTCCCTCCCTCCCTCCTCTTGTTCAATGCACATCTCAAGACCGCGAATTTGGTCATCTTTCCCCTCTGCACCCCACTCGACTCTCACCCACAGCTCAGGTGCCCAGCCCAGCCCAGCCCAGCCCGCATTGTCATGGGTTTCGGGACATGAAAGGCCCTGTGCAACTTCAGAAACCTATTGCTTCAATCCCGAGTCTTGCTTCCTGCTCAGTTAACCCAATAACCGTCTCTTTTAATGTTTCCAGGTTTTGTTTAGTTCTTATCCGGACCGTAGGAATCCCCGGCAGATGGTTGCTGTTCCATCATTAGGAGGCTACTGTATCCTTTGTCAATGTGAATATTTTGCCGAACCTACGTCTTGTGTGATTGCTTCATAATAATAATAATCTTTGCATTTGATACAGCGCCTTATTACTTCGAGGCGTGTGGAGTAAGGAAACTTGCTTGACATAGGGTCAGTGAGCCATACAAAGCACAAACGGAATGAGAGAATAAGTTCTCGTCAACACTGTGCGATAGAAACCCCTCTTCTCTGCCAGAGATTATGGGTGTAGAAGCTGAAGGCTTGGCGTGGGAGAAGCAGTAAGGCTGAGTTCTCCGAGTAATGGGATGTTGATGGGGGAAGCGAGCAGAGGCATAGGGTGGGAGGAGATCAGAGAGATAAGGAAGTGTTGGGGCGTGAAGGGTATTTATAGGATTATTTATTATAAATGCATCTATAAATTAGTATAAATTTGCGCATTCATAATTTAGATTTATAAATATTAAGTATGTATTTATATTTAATTCAGTGCAGTAAAAAAAAAGAGTTGCTGAGAGGAAACTGCGTGGTAAAGGCAGTGGCTTAGCTGAGGGTATTTGTTTCATTTATTATTCAGTGTTTTTCTGTGAGGACTTGGTTCTCTGATCCACGTAAAAAATAATAATAATGATGCTTGCATTTGATATAGTGCCTTATCATTCATTGAGACGTCTCAGAATGCTTCACACAATACACTGCAAAGTGAATTAACTGAATATTTTGTGGGCGAAATGTGGCAAATTGCATACAGCAGCATCCCACAAATAGTCGTGGATCGAGTGATCAAATTATTTGTTTTTTTGAAGGGATTATTACTCCCGGAAAGCGATCCGCCAATCGACTAACAACTAGGTAATGACTAAGTCTACTTACTTACTGCTAGGTAAACAGAGGCGTGCGGAGTCAGGAAACTTGCCTAAGGTTTTGTCCTGCTGGGAATCGAACCCGAGTCCTCTCGCTTGCGAGGCGAGTTCTCCAACCAATATGCTGCAGGACCCCACCATTTTGTCAAACAAATCATAAAGTAATCAACGAGGAATAGAAATGGAGCGCTATTGAGGAAACCAAGAAACCAACACACATTTTCCACCCCGATCCCAGATGGGAATAACCTTCCAGGAATTGTAGAAGCATGAAAACTTACAGCTCAGAAGTAGGCTATTTGGCCCAAAGTGTCTGTGATGGCACTTTTAAAGGACAATGCGTACAGTCCCATTTATTTGCCTCCCCCCCCACCACCACCACACACACACACACCCTTGCAGTTTAGAAGGTGGCTGAGTTGCTGGCATAAGGTATTTTCCTCTTGTCTTTACCCTGCGGAGGATTGTCTAAATTGTACCAGAAGGCAGGTCAGTCATGCTAACGGTAATGTAAGGATTAGATTTACAGAAAGAAATTAGAGGCGTTGAAAACGAATCTTCTGCTCACACAGTGATTTACATTTGGTATTGTCTGCGCTCGCGTTTTTTTTTTGGCACATCTCATTTTCCTTTGTTGTTCCTCGGATCTTGTTGCGTGAAGTTTTTTTTTGTGGGTGTGTATTTATTTCTTTTTAAAAATTCTCTCTAGAGGATATTTAATAATAAATAAATGAATAAGTAAATAAACTGGTCACTCAATCCACGACTGTTTGTGGGATGCTCCTGTGCACAATTGGTTGCCGTGTTTCGCCCACAAAATATACAGTCAATTCACTTTACAGCACTCGAATCTTTGAGTCAGAAGTTTGTGGGTTCAAACCCCATGTCAGGGATTTTGAACTCAGTCCAGTCTAGGCTGGAGGAGGTGCCGTCCTTCGGATGAGATGTTAAACCGAGGTCTCGTCTGTGCATGTTCAGGTGGAAGTTAAAGACCCAATGGCACTATTTGTCCTTGCCACTAATCCTCCAGATAAAACTGGCCATTCATTTCATTGGCTCTTTGTGGGATATTAATGTGTGCAAATTGGCCGCCACATTCGCCTACAAGTACACTATCACCGTGGTACACAGTAAGTCATGTAACGCACTTTCAGATGTCTCGATAACGTGATAAGGTGATTTGATGCTTCATCAAATGCAAGGATTGTTATGATAGCGTTCATTGCAAAAGGTTTAGAGTATGAGAGTAGGGAAGTCTTGCTGCAACTGTATAGGGCCTTGGTGAGACCGCACCGAGAGTATTGTGTGCAGTTTTGGTCTCCTTATTTAAAAAAGGACATACTTTCCCTGCAGCGTAGATTCACTCGGTTAGTTCCTGGGATGAGGGGACTGACCTATGAGGATAGGCTGAATAAACTGGGGCCGTATTCTCCAGAGTACAGAAGAATTGGGGGGATCTTATTGAAACATATAAGATTCTTAAAGGGCTGATAAAGTAGACAGTGAGGGTCTGTTTCCCCGGTGGGAGAATCTATAACCAGGGGTCACAGTCTTAAAATGAAGGGTCAGCCTTTTAGAACAGAGTTGAGGAAACATTTCTTCACTAAGAGGGCAGTGAATTTATGTTATAAGCTGATGGAACATGCTCGATGGGCTGGTGTACTTGTTTTCCCACATTTCCTATTCGCCAAGAGAAACAATGGTGAAAAACTAAGCAGCATTTTAAGAGACGTGGAGAGGGACGACATCTTTCCGAGAAATGGTAAGAGCCAAGTCTGTAGCGACCCGAGCGCGAGAAAATAATTTAGAAATGAAAGATTAATAAATGGGAGCTGTAGAAAAGAAAGTCGACACAGGATAAATGTGCAATTGAGGTGCAAGGAAGAAAGAAAAGTTTTACGTGTGTCAAATCGCTCACAAACATGGGGTGTGGAGACCTTTAAGTAAGGGATGAGTTACTTAAATTGATGAGTTGGATGGAAACCTGGTGAAATCAGGAAAACGGGAGATGCAGTGAATTCATTTAGCATAACTTCCATTTGACATAACTCCTTCTCACAGCATTGTGGAGCATCTCAAAACACTTCTCTGGATCTACTATTCAAAAAGAGAAGCGAGTTTCTCTCTCCCAGTGTCCTGGCCAACAATCCCCCAAATAAAATTGGTCACTCACTGCAAAATGGCTGCTGCATTTCACCCACTAAGAAGTAGTGACTGGATATTGTTGAAGGACGGGGCAGCCAATTTGCACACTACAACGCCGAACAATCAGCCGTGAAGTGAATGACCCTTCGTTAGTTGTCTTATTCAAAGCGTCTAAGTGAAGAAATTTCCCCAAGCAGGTTTCCTGGTCTCCTCGGGGGAGAGGAAGTGAGCACATCAAGCCAATCTTCATTGCTTCAGAAGGGAGGGAGAAGGGAATAGGCATGGGGACGGATTGTGAGGAATGGAGGCTCATTTGAAGTATACACACCAGCACAAAACTAGTTGGCACCGATGGCTTGTTTTGGGGCTGTAGCATAACAACAACAACTTCCATTTATATAGCTCCTTTCATGTCTTTCATGTCTTGGAGCTCCTAACACTGGTGGAGCCAGGTGTCGAGCCAGGGGGGAGGGAGGAGTTGACCGTAAGTACTGCCGAAGAGGTAGGTCTTCAGTCGTGATCTAAAAGAGGGGAAGGAGGGGGCAAGATGGGGCGATTGAGGGAGACAGTTCCAAAGCTTTGGGGAGTAGTGGCCGAAAGCGCGGCCGCCGATGGTGGAGCAGAGAGGACGAGGGAGAAGCAGGAGGCCAGAGCCAGCCGAGCGGAGGCAACTGGTAGTGGAGCGGGGAGAGAGCAGGTCAGAAAGGTAGGGAGGTGCAAGGGAGTGAAGGGACTTGTACAATGTATGTAATTGAAATCTCTGATCTTTTTCTTCTATTAACAATCCCGAGACTATGATCCCTTGCCACCCATTTCCCCAACTTAAGGAAATAGCTTTTCCCTATTTACCTTGTCATGGGCACTTCAGAATTTTAAACACCTTCATTATTTCCCCCGGCTCTCAATCTCCTGTGTTCCCAATATAGCATTTAGCCTCCGATTGGAAAGCTGTGCCTTGTTAGATTGTAAACCAATGATGCTTTTGCTTAATGTGCTTGTACTCTGTCCTCCCAGGAGACGAGGAAACCTGGTACTGTGAATTTACTCCATTTACCACTTCAGACGTGAGCCAGTATAGCCAAAGCATTTGCTGGAAAGGAATGACTGTTATGCTCATTACTCATTCAAGGTTCCTGGTCCCTCCGAATAGTGCTTCCGTGACCCCTGCAGACTCTCCCCCAACCCGCTGTGTATGTCAGTATCACCAGCGGTGTAGTAATCACTGATCTTCAACTCTATGAGAAGCCAAACATACTGCACCTAAAGCAGCTTGGTGTTTCGGTATTCTGGTGGAGTCCTGTAGCTCAGTGGTTAGAGCACTTTCCTCGCAAGTGAGAGACCTGGGTTCGATTCCCAGCAGGGCGAAACCTTGGGCAAGTTTCCTTACTCCACACGCCTCTGTTTACCCAGCAGTAAGTAGGAACCCGGTTGTTAGTTGATTGGCCGATCACGTTTCCGAGGATAATAATTGGTTCTAAAAAAAATAATAATAATTTGATCACTTCAATCCATGACTGCTTGTGGGACGCTGCTGTGCACAATTGGCTGCTGTGTTTCGCCCACAAAATATACAGTCAATTCACTTTCCAGTATATTCTGTGAAGTGCTTTGAGACGTCTCGAAGGTGTGATAAGGCGCTATATCAAATGCAAAGATTATTAATATTCAAAATCTAATGATATTAATCCTTCCATTTGATGTAGCACCTTGTGTGTCAGCCTGGCTCTCGCCTTTGACTCTGAGGTTTGGGTTCAATGGGTTCAACCCCCATGTTGGGCTTGGAATTACTTTGTCTAAACTGACATTCCAATGCAGTGCTGGGGGGTGGCGAGGGGTGGGGCAGTGCTGCATTGTGGTGGGTGCCGTCCTTCACATGAGACATTAAATCGTGGCCCTGTTTGCCTCGCCAGGTGGACGTTAAAGATCCCATGACACTGTTCGAAAAGAGAAGGGGGTTTCTCCTGGGTGTCCTGGTTGACAATTCCCCAGATTAAAAATTGGCCGTTCACTTCTTGGCTGTTGGTGGAACTTGACTTTGCGCAAATTGGCTGCAACATTTGGCTACGAGATACGGAATCACAACATTTCACAGTAAATGTGGCGACGGGCTAGAAGACGTCCTCCTGACATGATAAGGCGCTGTATTAAGTGCAAGAATAATATTAATCATTAACACCTCTTTAACCCATCACCCTGTCTCCTCTACCTCATTTTCTCCTTTGTCTTCCTTACCCTCCTACCTCTCTGTTAGCGCTTAAAAGCCTCTCCCTCCCAACATGTCCCAGTTCTGACGAAGGGTCATGGACCCGAAACCTCGACTCACTTTCCTTTCTCCTTGGATGCTGCCTGACCTGCTGAGTGTTCCCAGCGACTTGTGCTTTTGTTTCAGATTTCACAGCATCTGTGGCATTTTGTGTTTTGCAAGAATAGCATTATTAGCAAGGATTACTATTATTTTATCAGGAGATCGGAAACTTTATCCAGGAGTGTCGATTTTTATTCATCGGCATATCTGGATTCAAATCTAGGTCACAGTTGTGAGGATGGGAGGATGGAGAAGTATGAGCAGTAAAGCTAAAGTCAACCTCATTTTGAAAAATAATTCGTGTCCAAATAGTACAAGTTGTAAATATGATTCATATCCTAATGTGTGTTTGCACACAATCTTAATCCCCTACTATTTCATAAATATATAAAGTTGCTGGAACCACTTTTGTTAGACGATTGTACTTTGCAGTTTGGTTGTGGCTGTTACTGTTAATAGCTGTTCGAGGGTGATGTGATTTATTACAGTGTCGGGAGGTTTCATGAGCATATTACAATAGACTCTCCCTTATTACTCTGTCTGAGAACTGACTTGCAGGTCAAACTCCACTTATCTTTGGTGATGGAGACACCGTATGCTTCAGATTGTGACTGTCACATTTCATTAGCTTTTGTGGGGGGCAGTGCTGAAGGTTCGTAGAATCATAGAATTATACAGCACAGAAGGAGGCCATTCGGCCCATCGTGTCTGTGGCGGCTCTTTGAAAAGAGCGTCTTGGTGTTCTGTGTGCGGGAACTCTTCGCAGTCCAGCCCGACACTCTGGTGCAGTGCGTGGGGAGCTCTGCATTGTCAGAGGTGCTGACCTTCGGATGTGACGTTAAGTGCGATTGGAGGGGGGGTAAGTTCACAACACAGCTGTGGAAACATTCTTTCAGTGAGCGAGCAGTAAATGTATGGAACAGGCTCGCGTGCGAGACGGTGGAAGCAGAAAGTGTTAATTTGGTCAAAAACAAATGAGGCAGATTTCTTTTAGGAAATAATATCTCGGGATACAGTATAGTTTTCGACACGACATGTCCAGCAACTGTCAGGATGGTGGAAAGCGAACTGGATGGATCTTGGCCTTCTTTCGCCAGCAAATTCTTATGTTCTTAAACCGAGGTCCCGTCTGCTTGTTCGGGTGGATGTTAAAGATCCTGAAAAGAGAAGGGAGTTTATCCTGGTGTCCTGGCCAACAATCTCCCCGGATAAAATTATTTTTTAGCTTCACGGCTGTTTGTAGGACATTGCCGTGTGCAAAAATTGGCTGGCGTGTTTTCCTACCAAGTACGCAGTCACTCCACTTCACAGCAAAATCCCATGATAAGGCGCTATTATCAATCGCGAGGATTATTACTATTATTATATTCATCCTTGTCTCCGCTCAAGTGACAGAACATAAACCTAATTGCCGAGCAGCTATTGTGCAAAGGATGTGAATTCTCTTTTCATTTGTTCAAGGGCGCACATTAATCAGAGCAGTCTGGTACCACGGGTGACAAATTATTTTGATGCACTGCAGCCCATTCTCTGCCTTTTCCTTTGTGCTGTAACGCTGTACTGTCAGCCGAACGTCTCCGCTCAAACAGAGGTATTGTTAGCAGGTGTCAGCCTGGCTCAGCCACTGGAACACTTGCCTCTGGTTCACAAGGTTGTAGGTTCAAGCCTCCACACACCCAGTCCTTTGACTTACAGTCTAGCCTCGGCTCTCAAAGCTGAGTTGGCAGAGGTGCTGTCGTTTTATTAATAATAGTAATAATAATTCTTGCATTTGATATAGCACCTTATCACGTCGTTAATGTGTGTCAGCCTGGCACTGTGGTAGCCCTCTCGCCTCTGAGTCAGAAGGTTGTAAGTTCAAGCCCCATGTTGGGACTTGGAATCATATTGTCTGGTGCTGTTCCAATGCAGTGCTGGTGCCATCCTTCGAATGAAACGTTAAACTGAGGTCCCGTCTGCTTGTACATTAAAGATCCCATGGCACTATTTGAAAAGAGAAGGGAAGCTCTGTCCCAGTGTCCTGGAAACAAGCCCCCAAATAAAATTGGTCATCCGCTTCATGAATGTTTGTGGAATATTGTTGTGTCCGAACTCACCCATGAAACACACAGTCACTGCACTGTACTATATATCCTGTGAAGTGCTTTGTGACATCTTGACACAGTGAATAAGGCGCTGTACTATACCAAATGCAAGGTTCATGGGATTATGAAGTAATGGCAATGTTTATTGTATTTGAAGAACTCTGAGCTGGAGGAATGGATGAATTCCTTTCTCTCTGTCTCTCATTCTCTCGCTTTGTCTCTCTCTACCCTGCAATGGCCTTTCTATAGCTATTTCCAGATCGCCCTTGTCAAGAGCACTAAGTAGTCACTTCTCATAGCCTTTCTACCTCACTGCAGATCAATCTACTGTTGTGCTCATGGTGACTGTATTCCTGGTGGAGGTCAGGTCCTGTGCTCTACTCCTGAGTGTCTGTGCATTTATTTTGCTGAACAATCTGGTACCAGGTCATTGCTTTAGGTGAGCAACTTCACTGCACCATAATAATCCTTGCATTTGATATAGCACCTCATCATGTCTTTGAGACATCTCAAAGTACTTTGCAGAATATATTGCGAAGTAGATTGGCCCAGCGCCTTGGGACATCCTCCTGACATGAAAGGCGATGTACAAATGTAATATTATATTGTATTTTGTGGGTGAAACATGGCAGCCAATTGCACACGGCAATGTCCCACAAACAATTTTTTATTCTTTTTGGAGGGATTATTACCCCCAGAAAGTGATCCGCCAATCAACAATCGGGTTCCTACTTATTGCTAAGTAAACAGGCTCGTGGAGAAAGGAAACTTGCCTAAGGTTTCACCCTGGCCGGGAATCGAACCCGGGTCCTCTTGCTTACGAGGCGTGTGCTCTAACCGCTAACACTGCCCTACGTGATTCCACAAATGTGATTGCTAGCGATCGCTCTTTTCCCCCACACCGTGTCCATGTGCCACTCCTGCCAAATCACTCCCTATCTGATGCAAACCTCTTGACTCCTGTTCCTCTTGTACCTCTGTACCAAGAGGTTACCTTCCGTGAAGTACAAGTTGTTGTTGTTGTACCAGGGGAAGGGTTCCACACCCGTGTCCATTTTTCTTTCCGTGAGCCTTGGCTGGGTTATTGGGTTGGCTGATTCAAAACTCCGCCACCAATATTCTCACCCACACTAAACTCCGTCCCCCCATCACACCAGTCCGTCCCCACCAGGCTTCCCTAGCTCCCAATCGCAGAATGGATGGATTTCAAGATCCTTTCACTCTTCTACAAATCCTGTCACCCCCCCCCGGCACCTCCCTACCTTTCTGACCTGCTTTCTTCCTGCTCGAATACTCGCTGCCTCCGCTCGGTTGACTCTGTCCTCCTGCTTGTCCCTCGTGCCCTCCGCTCCACCGTCGGCGGTCGTGCTTTGAAACTCTCTTCCGTGATCCCTCCGCCTTACACCCTCTTTTAGATCATGACTGAAGTACTTCCACTTCGATCGTGTTTACTGGTCACCTCGCATGAAGGGCGTATGTAAATCAAAATTGTTGTTATCTCAGGGTTGGGCTGGTATTACATGGGGTGAGACACATAATGTTTTTTCGGCTCCCGGAGATGGTCGTTTTCTCGGCCACTCTTTTCCCCCCACGAAGCCGTTGCAGTTCCTTGACAGAATGCGCGTCACAGATTTGAACCTCTCGACCTCTAGAGACGCTATCCTTCTGGACCTGCAGGTGGCCGGGCCGTTTGCTGAAGGTGCCGCTCACGGGAACGTGGTCGAGTTTGTCAACATTCAGGTGGAGCGGCACGAAGACGATCAGACCGGGAAGAGACGATCCCACCAGGTCCCAGAACGTTAAGTCAATTTCACCCTCTCCCTCTCCCATCCCAACTCTGCTCCTCAGCTGCACTGGGTGGAGGTGGGGCGAGGGGTTGGGGTGGTGGGGAGGGTGGGATGCGGCATAATTATGTTGATATAATTCATCTGAACATCTGACCTCACTTGGAACTCAAACCCACAGAGCCTTGAGATGGGCCTTGAAGAATGAAAGGAGGGGGCGTGGCGGAGGGAATGTGGGATGGAAGTTCCATAGGGTGCAGGCAGAAAGGCTGAAGGCCCGATCGCCGATGGTATGGTGGGCCGGGCGGGAATGAGTAGCTTGCTGGAGCCTACTGTGTGGAGAGGTCTATATGGAGTTAGCAGGTCACAGAGGTAGAGAGGAGCTAGGCGGTGGAGGTCTTTCAAGACGAGGACAAGGAATTTGAACTGTATCCTCTGGGGGACGGGGAGCCAGTGAAGCCGGGCGAGGGTGGGGTTGATAGGATCATGGGTTACCTGGAAGGGTGGTTGCGGCTAGAATTCATGCAAGAAAACAGCTTGATGCTGAGATGGGAAGATGGAAGGACGGTTGTTCTGGAAGGATGAGATCAAATGAGGCCAAGGCCCTTTCCACTCAAACCTCTCCCAAGATCACAGGAATCCCAGCTCACGTCTGACTACCGTTTGAACAATGTGTAGAGGTTTGTCTTCACATCGAAGCTGCCGATTCCTATCTATTCAAACTAGTGCCAAGCCTCCAGCTCATTAGGTTTTCATGTTGCCCTCACTATTAATCTCAAAAATAATATTCTACAAGAGCAAGTGGAGTCAGTGGTCACGTTTGTTATTTCAGGAGTCGGTTTGTGGCAATTTATGTTGCCCAGCAGATGGTCTCCCGAGACACTATTTCAGTACTCGTGGATGCTATCCCAGGACTCCGAGACACTTTCCCTCCCCGAGATGCTCTGAGACGCTATCCTGTTTGACAGCCACTATATAAATGCAAGCTATTATTATTTTGCCCCCTTCTCCCTCCCCATATTTGAAGCCCCTGCAAGAACTACCTCTTTGCCTTCACTTCCTCCACACCCTTTGTGGCTTCCATCCCTGTGTATCCATTTAGCAGCAGTTGAGACGTCCTCCTGATGCGAAAGGCACTGTCTGAAGCTATGTGTAGTTACTTTCCTTTGTGTTTCACAGTTAATGCACAACTGGACCATTCCATTAAACCCACAAAGAAGGGAAGTCCTCAAGAGGAAGACTTTTGAAATGCGCAGCAGGTAACACTTTCTTTGAACTAAGTCCATAAAAAAATAATTTCTAAGCAATTATTGGCTCTAGCCACACATCTTTGAGTGTGTTAGATTGTCTCCAACCCCAGCTTCGGTGCAAACCCTTAACTGTCCAGTGCCTCGGGATGTCCTTCTGACGTAAAAGGTGCTAAATAAATGCAATTTGTTTGTTGTTGTCTCAGTTGGTAGCACACTCGTCGCTTGTTGGAAGAAGTTGAGCTCATAGTCCAGGTTGATCTTTTTGGTTGACCACCAGCGTTTGTTTCATTGCTGGCTGTGGGATATTGTTGCCGCAGGTTAGTTGCCATGGTTTCCAACCAAAGCCACTCATTGTGTGAGAAACTCCTTTCTCTTTTTGAAAAATAATAATATAATAATTCTTGCATTTGGTACAGCACCTTATCACGGCTTTGAGACGTCTCAAAGCGCTTCACAGAGTATACTGTAAAGTGAATTGACTGTATATTTTGTGGGCGAAACGTGGAAGCCAATTGCGCACAGGATACTCTTTCAATAATCTTTAATATCCACCTAACTGACAGCCAGGACCTCAGTTTGATGTCTTATGCGTCTTCAACAATGCGGAATACACATAGCCCCAGCATTGTATTGGAGCATCAGTGTAGACCATATGATTTTCAAAGTCCCAATGTAGGTCTTGAGTCTACAAACCTTAATAACAACAATCCTTGTATTCGATATAGCGTCTTTCATCTTGGGAGGATATTTTGAAGCGCTTCATAAAATTCAAAGTGGCAGCCAATTTGCGGACAGGAATGTGAATGACCGGTTTTATTTGGTGGATTATTGGCCAGGACTCCAGAAGGAGAAAGGAATGGGATATTTGTAAGTTTAGGGAAACAAGGGCGGGTAATTGATCTTGATCAGTCATGATCTTATAGAATAACAGAACAGGCTTGAGGAGCTGAATGTTCCTGTTCCTATGGATACTTCCCCAGCACTGTACAGCACTCTGAGATATCATTCTACACGTAGATGTAACACAAGTGCACATTGTTGTTGTTATTGTAATAAGATCCATTTTAGTCTTAAAAATTTATGGTCGCGCAGAGTCATGGAAAATTGTATTGTATAAGGCCAATGCAAAATCAGCTTCCGAATTAAGGTCAAGAATATAAAAATGTTCCCCATATAATCTTGTCCCAACCTAGATTTTAAGACAGGATGGTCTTGCGGTGGAATGTCGACCCTCTGATGTCTTCTGTTGACTGGTGATTCTGTTTCTTTTCTGGCAGCCAAATCGGCGTAAACATACAGGCCTTTCTCCAGAGTAATGACGTGATTCCTCTTTCTATCAGCCACCAGTACCTCTACGCCAACATCGAAACGCAGGTCGCGATTGCCTCAGTCATTTTGGCTGCTGTCTACGTTCTCATTATATTTGAGGTACATGTCAAGCTCTTGTACGACTCTTTCTGAGATAAATAATATTGTGTTTCGCCCACAAAATACACAGCCAATTCACTTTACAGTATATTCTGTGAAGCGAATTGATATGTTTCAATGACGTGATAAGGCCCTATGTCAAATGCGAGGATTATTATTAATATTACTGGGTTTCCAGCCAGTGGTTCATTTGCAATGCTTTCAACGTGGATAATAATAATAATAATAGTTGTAATTGATACAGCGCCTGATCACTTTGGCCACTAAGGCTTTGGCCATTATATTTCAATCGTCATTGGACACAGGAGTGGTGCCAAGAGACTGGGGAGTGGCTAATGTTACCCCACTCTACAAAAAGGGGCAGAAAGACAAGCCCGGAAATTACAGGGCAGTCAACCTAACTTCGGTAATAGGAAAGCTACTGGAGACCGTAATCCGGGACAAAATAAATCTCTACTTAGAGGAACACGAGGTAATTAGAGACAGCCAACATGGATTTGTTAAAGGCAAATCTTGCCTAACAAATCTAATAGAATTTTTTGAAGACGTGACTGTGAGGGTTGATGAGAGAAATGCGGTGGACATTATTTACATGTATTTTAAAAAGGCTTTTGACACAGTACAGTACTGCATAAGAGGTTAATAAAAAAACTGGAGGCCCACGGTATTAAGGGGACAGTAGCCGTTTGGATTAGGAACTGTCTGAGTGACAGAATGCAGAGGGTGGTGGTCAATGGGTGTTTCTCGCAATGGAAGGAGGTGTGCAGCGGTGTCCCCCAGGGATCGGTATTGGGACCACTGGTCTTTCTAATATATATTAATGATCTGCACTTGGGCATAGAGAGCACTGTTTCCAAGTTTGCAGATGATACAAAGTTAGGTCGGGTAGTAAATAGTGAAGAAGATTGTGACGGACTGCAGGCAGACATACACAGAATGGTGGAATGGACTGACATGTGGCAGATGGATTTCAATGTGGATAAGTGTGAGTTGATACACTTAGGGAGGAAAAATGATAGGAGGCAATATAGACGTGGAGCTCAATCTGAAAGTGGGGTGAACGTACAGAGAGATCTGGGCGTTCAAGTAAGCGATTCATTGAAGGTGGCAGAGCAGGTAGATAGGGCAGTAAAAAGGGCATTTGGTGTACTGAGCTTTATTAGTAGGAGCATAGAGTATAAGAGTAGGGGTTATGGTTAATCTATACAAAACACTGGTTAGGCCTCAGCTGGAGTACTGCGTCCAGTTCTGGGCACCTTACCTCAGGAAGGATATTAAGGCACTGGAAAGGGTTCAGAGGAGAGTCACGAGAATAATACCAGGAATGGGGAACCTTAGCTATGAGGACAGGCTGGAGAAGTTAGGACTTTTCCCATTAGAGCAGAGAAGGTTACCCGGGGACCTGATAGAGGTCTTCAAGATCATGAAAGGTTTCAACAGGTGAGATAGGGAAAAGCTGTTTCCGCTGGTAGGTGTGTCTGTGATCCGTGGTCACGGTCTTAAGATATCTACCAAAAGAAGCAGAGGGGAGGTTAGAAGAAATGTTTTCACTCAGCGAGTTGTTGGAATTTGGAGTGATCTGCCCGAAAGGGCAGTGAAGTCCGATTCGATAACAGGTTTTAAGAGAGAACTGGATAGGTATCGGGGGAAGACGGGTTTGTAGGGTTATGGGGAGAAAGCTGGTGATTGGGGTTAGTTAAAGTGACGCTCTGTCAAAGAGACGCACAGATTCGATGGGCCGAATGGCCTCCTTCTGTGCCGTAACATTCTATGATTCTATGATTCTATGATCACGTCATTGAGACGCCTCAAAGTGCTTCAAAGAATATACTGTAAAGTGTAGCGACTGTTTATTTTAAGGGCGAAACCCGGCATTTGTGCACAGCAGTGTCCCACAAACAGTTGTGGATTGAATGACCAAATTATTATTATTTTGAAGGGACTATTACTCCCGGAAAGCGATCCGCCAATCGACTAACAAGCGGGTTCCCACTAGGCAAACTGAGGTGTGTGTGGATCATAGATATCCTGCAAGGGATAGAAGTTAAGCCACAGGAAATGATACTGAGTTTGAGATCAATACCATCAAGGTTGCATAGCTTGTTTGTGATTGATGTCTATGGGTTATGCTCACCTGTTTATGTCTCCATTGAGCTGGTGCTGGAGTCTTAATTGTTTTCAGATTGTAAGGTCGTGTGCTTACTGATAAACATGAGGCACCGACTATTGTAGGGTCTGAGACTGGAAACCACTATCTTAGTATTTCAAATCCTGCAGAATTTTAGAAATTTCCTAACTTCGGTCTTAATTTGCCCCCTCCCTTGCCTCCTCTTTAACTGGGCCTTCGGTCACCCTCCTACCTCCAACCCTCCACCCCTCCTGATCCCAACCCTCAGCTCTGGTGCAAATCCTTGACTGTCCAGCGCCTTGGGACGTCCTCTAGACATGAAAGGCGCGGTACGAATGTAATTTGTTATTGTTGTTAATTTGGAAGCAGGTTTTCTCAAGCTCTTTAGAAGAAAAAAAACACAACTTTTAAATTAAGACTGGTCTGGATTCAAGCATTTTCTACGAATCTGCACAATATTAAATGTTAAGGCGTTCTTAACGCGAAGGTTTGTGGGATGCAATGTCCAGGTTGGAGTCTTTTAGATAAAATAAATATATCAAGATCCCATCTGGCTGTTCAGGTGGGTGTTAAAGATCCTGTGGCACTATTTGAAAAGAGAAGGGAGTTTCTCCTGGTGTCCCAGATAAAATTGGTCATTCATTTCATGGTTATTAATGGGATATTTCTGTGCGCAAATCGATTGTATCAAATGCTAGGATTATTTATCATTCTAACCTACTCCCATGTCGTTGCCCTACCGTTGTGGAAGAAATGATAAACCAAGTAGTTGGAAGGGTGGCCACTAGAGGACAGTGTTAGCTGTCTGGATTGGCTGCTGTCATCTATTGGAAGGAAGGGCTGCCCGGTCAATGTTCTTCCTGGATGAGAGCAAATTTTCTCCACTTGAACGTCGACAAGACTGAGTCCCTCCTGCTTGGCTCCCGTCAGCGCCTCCTCACCTCAGGCGCTGACAGCATCACTGTTCACGGATACGCACTCCACCTCACAGAGCCGGTATGGAACCTTGGCGTCTTGTTCGACGCTCAACTGTCCTTCAAACTGCACTTCTGTGCCATGACCCGTTATGCCACCTCCCATCTCTGCAACATTGCCCGCTTTGCCCACTGCCTCTCTCTCCTCAGGCTGCTGGGACCCTTAGTCATTTAATCATTAATCATATCCAGACTTGACTACGCCAACTCTCTGCTCGCTGGGCTTCCCAACTCTTCCCTCCACAAACTGCAGATTATTCAGAACTCTGCAGCTCGTGTCCCCTCCCATAACTAGATCCGTGACCCCATCACTCCCACTCTTGCCCGGCTCCACCGGCTCCCCATCCTCCAGCGGATCGAGTTTAAAATCCTCATCCTGACTTTTAAAGCCCTCCACTGCCTTACTCCTCTCTACCTCTGCGATCTACTAAACCTTTACCAACCTGTCCACTTCCTCCGCTTGGTGGGCACTGGCCTGCTCCAAGTCCCACCACTGCCCTGCCCGCTCCACCATTGGCGGTCGGACCTTCAGCCTTTCTGCCCTCACCCTCTGGAACTTCAAAGGAATTACTTTAAAGGGTAGTGACTATGTTTTTGTGGACATGGTAGTCATTTATGGAAAGCATTGTCCCACAAACTGCCATGAAGAGAATGAACAATTTTATCAAGGGGATTGGCCGCAGAAATCTCTGGTTCAGCTGGTAGGTTACTGCATGTGTCAGACACCCAGTTGATCAAAATAAATTGTATTTGACCTGGTGTTTGTGATTGGCAGTTGACAGCCCCATATCACATGGGCGCTAAGATTTCAGTGGCTCTCACACACTTTCCTGACGCGAAAGGCGCTACACAAATGTCATTTGTTGTAAAATCTGTTCTAAAAGATCTAAGTATTGGGAGTTTAATTATATTAACCCTTGCATTTTTTGATACAGCACTTTATCACTTTGTTCAGATGTCTCAAAGCGCTTCACAGGATATACTGTGAAGTGGATTGACTGTTTATTTTGTGGGCGAAACGCGGCAGCCAATTGCGCTCAGTAGCGTCACACAAACAGCCGTGGATTGAGTGACCAATTATTTCTTTGTTTGGAGGGATTATTACCTCCTGGAAAGCGATCTGCCAATCAACTAACAGCCGGGTTCCTACTTACTGCGAGGTAAACAGAGGCGTGTGGAGTAAGGAAACTTGCTCAACGTTTCACCCCCTGCCCGGGAATCGAACCTGGGTCCTCACGCTTGCGAGGCGAGTGCTCTAACCCCTAAACTACAGGACTCCACTCCACTATGCTGAAGGTTTCCATTGGACCATCGGTAGACTTTCTTTGAAACTTCCTTTTTTTTGAAAGTTTAAAAAGTTGTCTTTATGTCAGCTGTGTAGGCGAGTTAGACCCACCAACTAGTCCAGATATTCAAAGGCAATTAATGCTTTCACTTTCGATTTGCAAGAAAGCAAGAGGAAGAGACGTTGAGGTTGAGAGGAAGAAGGCTTCAGTCCAAGGAGACAGACACAGGTTCAGGGTTGAAAACAGCAATTCAGGGCAAATACCAGCAATACTTTTTCTAGTTTTCAGTTTATTAGTGGTTTGAGCACTCACCTGGCAAGCGAGAGAGACCTGGGTTCGATTGCTGGTCAGGACGAAACGTTGGACAAGTTTCCTTACATACAGCTACAGGACTCCAGGTAGAGGAGGGGTGTGGAAGAGGCGTATTAGGAGTGTCTAGGGGTGATGGAGATTTTTCTGGAGCATAAACTCACTCACAGACTAATTGGGCAGAATGACCTGCTTTCATGTGTTCTACCTCATTTCACGATGCAGCTCACGTTGCTTAATTAGGAATTGCCTTTAGGAACACCGCAAAATACCCCGCTCCCCGTGATCTGGAGGTTTTGTTGTCACAGCAGGTGACAAGTTTTCTTCTTTGTGTGCAGTTTTCTTTAGCCGCTGAAGCTGATTATTGTCCTAAGAAACCGAGGAAGCAAACTAAAATGTTCTCGGGTTTCCGAGACGCAGCGTGAAGGCTCGAGAGTGCTGGTACCTCCCTGATTGGCTTGGTGATGTTGAACACAAGTGATATTCTGCTGGAGGTTTATTGATTTATTTTTCAGCCTTTTAAACGAGCCTGAACCTTTCACATTTGTTTCAACCCCACGCTCCCCCCCAAAAGATATAGTCAATCCACTTGACAGTATATCCTGTGAAGTGCTCTGAGATGCCGTCCGACGTGGAGGGCATTATATAAATCCAAATCCAAGTTGTTGTTGTTGTCTCAACAACGTGATAAGAGGCTATACCAAATGCAAAGATTATTATTAATGAAAGTGCAGTGACTGTATTTGTGGGCAAACCTGCACACAACCATGAAGGGAGTCACTGATTTTATTGGAGGAGGAAGGGGTGGTTGTTGACCAGGACTCTGAGAGAAACCCCTTCTCTTTTCGAATAGTACCATGGAACCTTTAACGTCCACTTGAACAGGCAGTCGAGACTTTGGTTTAATAACCCATCCGAAGATGGCACCTCCAATAATGCAAGTCTCCCTAGAACTGTGTTGGAGTATCAGCCGGGACTATATGAGTTCAAGGTCCCAACATGAGACGTGATCCCACAAACTTCTGATTCGGAGACGTAAGTGCCATAAACTGAGCCAGGCTGACACCTGGACATGTCCTGATGGCAATCACAACAACAGAATTACCAAGAAAAGCCTGGGATCAACTGGGTTTTCATGCAATTTAGGGTTGCACATTTTGGTGCGTGATGTGTTAATTGAAAGCGGTGGGAATTAAGAAATGGTTATGAATCGTAGAATCATAGAATATTACGGCAGGGCAATATTATTGCCCTGCCGGGAATCAAACCCAGGCCTCTCGCTTGCGAGGTGAATGCTCTAACCACTGAGCTACAGGACAGGACACTGTCTTAATGTCAGAGGCGCTGTATCAAATGCAAAGATTATTATTGTGATATTATTTTCTTGTAAGAGAGAGGACCCAGGTTCGAGTCCCGGGCAGGGCAAAACCTTGGGCAAGTTTCCGTACTTAGCACACCTGCTTACCAGCAGTAAGTAGGAACCCGGTTGTTAGTTGATTGGCAGATCACTTTCCGGGGGTAATAATCCTTCCCAAAACAAAGTCACTCAATCCACGACTGTTTGTGGCACAGCGCTGTGAGTAATTGACTGTCGTGTTCCGCCCACGAAATACAGTCAATATATCCTGTAAAATATTTTGAGATTTGTCACCGACGTGATAAGGCGCTATATCAAATGCAAGGAATATTACTATTATTTTCATCTTTTTTCAACTATTATTGCGACAGCTAACATACTTTTCCATTGCAAAGAGGGAGGAGGGAAGGGAAAGGGGCAGCCAGTGGTTATTAAGTTGAAAGTAATAGTATATTCCCTCATTGATGGAATGCTGCTGCCTGAACATTCATTTTAATCTGTTGAGGATCGTGACTTCTCCAAGGTTAATTGTGTAAGCGCTGACTGGCAGGCACTGGCAGGGCGAAAGCTATTACAATAACAATCCAGAGTACCAAATTTTGTACAGCTCAAAGCACTTCACCGGAATTAACATCAAATGTAATGATTGTGCTTTTAAACATAATAATAATAATAATAATAATAATAATCCTTGCATTTGATATAGCGCTTTTCACGTCGGGAGGACGTCCCAAAGCGCTTCACAGAATATACTGTAAAGTGAATTGACTGTATATTTGTGGGCGAACGCGGCAGCCAATTGCGCACAGCAATGTCCCACAAACAGTCGTAGATTGAAAATGACCAATTTATTATTGTTTTGGGTTTTGGAGGGATTATTATTAGGCTCTGTGTGGAGTAAGGAAACTTGCCCAAGGTTTCGCCCTCTGCCTGGAATTGAACTCAGGTCTCTCACTTGCAAAGCGAGTGCTCTAACCACTGAGCTACAGGACTCCACTAATACAGTCACAACACCTTACAGTAAATTAGTAGGAATACTGATCCTTGTATTTGGTACAGCGCCTTTCGTGTCGGGAGCGTGTCTCAAACCGTGATTAATAATAATCATCATAATAATAATAATCCTTGCATTTGATATACTGTGTATGTTTGAAATCACGTGAAGCGCTTTAAGACGTCAACTCCTGACGTGAAAAGCAGAATATCAAATGCAAAGATTATTACTATTATTATTATTTGCCACATTGGGGACCTAATAACGTATTTTTATTTTTTCCTCTCTCTTGTGTGCTCTGATTTCAGATTGTCCATCGATCCCTGGCTGCTATGTTAGGTTCCCTGGCAGCTTTAGCTGCTCTTGCTGTTATTGGTGAAGTAAGTGTCGCTCCCCACAACCACCCCCCTCACCGCAAAATACTGTGTGTTGCCGCAGAATCAGATGCTCAGCTCTGTTTCACTTCAGCTAAATTCTAGTGAAGGTTTTGTGAAAAATCTGGTGCTCGGAATTAGACACTAGCCACAATCTTGAGGGAGGGATGTTGCTGTCTGAAAATTGCCTGGAAAAACACAGTCCAGTACACTTTACAGTGATTCCTGTGAAGCGCTTTGAGACTTCCTCCCGATGTGAAGGGCGCTAATACACTTGCAGTTTGATGTCACGTCTCAAAATATATTGTAAAGTGGATTGATCGTGTATTTTGTGGGTGAAACTCGCAGCCAATTGCGCACGGCGGCATCCCACAAACATTGGTGGATCGAGTGACCAAATTATCATTATTTTTTTTCGGAGGGATTATTACCCCAGGAAAAACGATCTGCCAATCGACTAACAACCGGGCTCCTACTTACTGCCAGGTAAACAGTGGAAGATTACCTAAGGTTTCGCCCTGCCCGGGGATCGAACCCAGGTCCTCTCGCTTGCGAGGCGAGCACGCTAATGGCAGACCGGGTGGTGTGGGGGACATGAAGCAAGCTGGTGCCTGCTGAGCAGAGGGATGGCAAGTTTGGTTTGAGGAGGTGGCAGAGGGTGGGTGGGGCAAGGCCGTGGAGGGATTTGAAGGTGAGGAAAAGGCCTGTGTCTCTGAATATTCTGACAAGCTTCCAGCAATTCTTTTTTTATATATATATATATAAAGAAGATTAATTCACTCATTATGTAACACTGCATGAATAATTCATCCCTACCAGCAGGAATCGGTATTAGTAGACTGAAGCTTACTCCCTTTTTTGGGGGTTCTTTTGTAATGTAAAATCTTTAAAGAAAATTAAAGAATGGGAAAATCCAACTAAAGTGGAGTTCATTTAGTAGGTTGCGAGTGGGTGTTGGGGGTGTGGGGAGGGTTTGGGAATTGCTAACTCACATCCCAGAGGATTAATTGTTAATTTCCTTGTCCTTTTGACTGTAGCGGCCAAGTCTGGTGACAGTGGTGGAGTGGATTGACTATGAAACGCTGGCGCTATTGTTTGGAATGGTAATTGTAATTCCTCGGCTGGGAGTTTTTGTTCACAAGTACAGCAACAACAACTTGCACTAACGTAGCACCCTTCATGTCGGGTAACTTCTCAGCAGCGGTGCTGGACGCCAAGCACGGGAGAAAGGGGTGGAGAGGGGAGGGGGAAGTGACCGTAGGTACGACAGTCGAAGAGGTATGACAGATAGAGAGGGGGCAAGATAGAGGGGTAGAGGGAGGGAGTTCAAGAGGAATGTAGTGGCGATGGGGAGCAGGCGTGAGACGCACAACAGGCCTGGGTTAATATACGTGCACAGACATATATATGTATATTTTGGCATATCTCTTTCAAACAGCGTTGTTATTGGAAGAGAAATTACAGGGATTGAGGAGATCACAAGGGTAGGGTGGAGGGATTTAATAGATAGGACGAGGATCTTGAACTCGATCTGTTGGTGCCAATGGAGTGGATGAGGATTGAGATGGTAGGCTCATGGAGTTTAGCGACTGAGACTCATGGCGTGCGATTGCAGAGATGATTTGAACTGGAGGGAGATGATTCTCAGAGCGCACCACTTATCCTGGAATTGAAGCACGAGAGAGATAAAACTCTAAATTGGATTTTTTTTGTTATTAATCTGGTTCAGCTCCAGAAAAACAATTGGAGTGACTCTTTAGCAAATGCAGTCAGAAATACCAACTGTGCATTAATTTCCATTTACGGAGAGTGGGTCAACCTATTTTTTCAGACCACTTTTCTGCTTCTTGCTATAGAAGCCCGGAAACAAGACAAGCTTTTAATCTTTTTAATCTCATTTCCCGCCTTTGCCTCATATCCCTTAATGGATTTATTTCCCAAGTATCAATCTAGCTCCCTTTTAAACACCTCAATTTATTCTGTAGCATTCCTTGAATTACCCGACCTTTTTTCATAGATGTGTTCCTTCCTGTACGATCCGAGGCCAGTATAGACTTCCTAAATGGGGTATCCAAAATGAAATGCAATACTACACCTCAATAGCAACAGCACCTCGCATTCGTGGCGTCCCGTGACCAATTTTATTTGAGGGATTGTCAGCCAGGACACAGGAGAAACTCCCTTCTCTTTTCAAATGGTGCCACAGGATCTTTAACGTCCACTTGGACAGGCAGGGTTTACCGAGATTTTACATTGTATCCCGAGATATTATTTTTTAGCAGAAATCTATCTACTTTGTTCTTCAAGCAAATTACATTTTCTGCTTCCGAGGGAGCCTGGCCCATAAGTTTACTGCTCTCAATGAAGTAGTGTTTCAGTAGATTTGTTCCGATTTATTCTGGGGATTTAGAACTCCCTACGTGAGTCCTTCCATCTTGCCCCCTCTTTGCCCGTCCTCAGATTGCAAGACTTTCCTCTTCGACCGTGCGTACGGTCACCTCCCCTCTCTCCCTGGCTCAGTGTCAAACTACATAGGAACATAGAAACATCGGAAGAGGAGTCGGACATTCAGCCCCTCGAGCCTGTTCTGGCATTCTGTTAGATCATGGCTGATCTGTACCTCAACTTCAATTTACTCCAATTCCAACTATACCAGTGTTAATCACTCTGAGACACTATTCTGAATGAAAGGTGCTATATAAATGCAAGTTGTTGTATTATTATTTTGGGATATTATATTATTTTGGGACCGATCTGGGAACTCAGTGGTTCCTACTATTCCTGTCTTTGCTCGGTTCCAGTGCTCTACTATAGAGCATATAAGAAATCGAGGGACTGAGTAACAAATCAACGTGTTCAAATAATCTCCTTTTTCTCATTCTGCTATTTGGTGTCTTTTTTCAGATGATTTTGGTAGCAATATTTTCAGACACGGGATTTTTCGATTACTGCGCTGTTAAGGTGAGTGGCTGAGCTGTGCAATTCCCCTGGAGGTTTCTGGTGAAGAGCGGGGAAATGGGATTAGGATATATAAGTAATTTGAGACATGACATTGACATTATAGCGTATTGGTTAGAGCACTCGCCTCGCATGCGAGAGGACCTGGGTTCGATTCCTGGGCAGAGCGAAACCTTAGGCAAGTTTCCTTACTCCACACTCCTCTGTCTACCTAACAGTAACCCTGTTGTTAGTCAATTGGTGAATAGCTTTCAGGGGCAATAATCCCTTGAAAAAGAAAAAAAAATTATTTGGTCAATCAATCCATGACTGTTTGTGGGACACTGCTGTACGGAATTGAATGCCGGGTTTCGCCCACAAAATATAGTCAATTCACTTTACAGTATATTCTGTAAAGTGACCCTTTGAGACGTCTCAATGACTTAATAAGGTGCCATATCAAATGCAAGGATTATTGTTATTATATAAGTTTATTCTGTGCTCATTATACAAGTAGTTACCTTAAATGAATTACTGCAAAGTTCAGAGTGAAATGTGCACGTAACCTACCCGGGTCTCTGGCTAAAACATATTTGTAGTTAATTATGCTGTTATTAACATTGAGGTGTTATCCAACGGAGAATTTTATCATTTGAATTATAATTAAAAATGCCAATGGAGAGCAGCCCTGATGGTGTAGTAGATAGAGCTGGGTCTTATGGACCAGAAGTTTGCTGGTTTGAATCCCGGGCCAGGCTGAGTTTGGTGGGGGTGAGGGAAGAGAGAGAGAGAGAATTACAAAATCTTTCAGTGAATTTTATGTAAATTGCCATTGAGAGAAATGAAAAAAACATTGAGGTAAGGAACAGCTTTGGGTCTGTTTGAAAGGGGAATTATGAGCCTAGAGTTTTTCCTCTGCCCATTTGCACAGAAAACAAAGCTGTTTTTGCAAGGGGGGAGCCTTCCACGGTCTTCCTCTACCCAACATCTGTGACCTCCTGAAACCCTACCAACCTGGAATTTTGGGCGATGGGGAAAGAGCGGATGAAATGGGTGGCTCTTTCATGGGACAGATATAGATAAAATCGACCTCTTTCTGTGCTGTGTACTCTGCATGTTTTAACGTTTTGAGCAAAAAAATCTAGTTAAAGAGCATCCTCCCTATGTCATCGTGCGTATACAAGGGGAGCAGGAGGGGCGGGGCCTTGTGTGGGGTAGTTGGGCTGAAAAATCCAGTTTCTATCGCTTTATGTGACTCTAATCACCGTATGTCCTTCACAGGCTTACCAGCTCTCGAGGGGGAGAATCTGGTCCATGATCATCATTTTGTGTCTCATCGCCGCCATTCTTTCAGCCTTTCTGGACAATGTCACCACCATGCTACTCTTCACTCCTGTGACCATCAGGTACTATTCTAATAATAGCATTAATTATATTGATAATAATAATAATCCTTGTGTTTGGCACAACGCTTTTCACGTCGGGAGTCTCAAAGCTCTTTACAGATTTACATTGAAGTGACTATGTGGATTATTTTGTTTGGTGAACATGGCAGCCCACTTTACACACAGCAATGTCCCACAAACAGCCATGAAGTCAATGATCAGTTATATTTGGGGGACTGTTGACCAGGACGCCTGGGGGCTTCTCTCCTTTCGAGTAGTGGCTGGGATCTTTGTCTCGTCTGGCGGGTGGCACCTCCGACAATGCAGCGCACCCACAGCACAGCGTAGACTATGCGAGTTCCAAGTCCTGACGTGTGGGCTTCAACCCGCAACCTTGTGACTCAGAGACGAGATTGCTACAGACTGAGCCGGGCTGACACTTGTGGTTGTGCAGGTGCTTTGGGGAGTGTGAAGAGCAAACTCACAGGCAAGATGAGGGAACATATGGACTGACAAGGACTGAACTTGGCAGAGTCTGACCCATCTCTTAACGAGGGGGGTGTTGGGTGGGCAGTGTCATGTGTGAGATTGTCGCATTGATGCAGTGGATGTGCTCTGATAGAGGTGATATATGTAGGTTTCTGACAGTGAAATAAGGCAACAAATTGCTGGTCGGCACAGGAGTTGTTTCCCACTGAACCCAAGTTTAATGGGAGATGCTTTTCCCAAATGGAATGTATGATGCAGATTTGTGTGTTCTTAATAAAAGCTAAAACATGGGTTTGTGCAATCGTGCCCGAGTGTGTATGCTAGTGTGTATGTTTTTGCATGTGTGTACATGCGAGTGTGTGTGTGTGAGTGTATGTGCGTGTGTATGTGCTGTTCTTCAGATGAGGTGTCAAACCAAGGTCCTGTCTGCTTGTTTAGGTGGACGTTAAAAATCCCAGTGCACTGTTTGAAAGGAAAAGGGAATTTCTCCCGGTGATCTGGTCAACAGTCCCCCAAATAAAATCACTCATTTGCTTCAGCACCAAGCTCCTAACCTCTGGGCCTCCCTGCCTCTATCCCTCCCCCTCGCCGTCTCTTTATCTAAGCACTTTGGGACGACTAGAAGACGTGATAAGGCGCTCTATCAAATGCAAGGATTATTATTATATCTATCTTTAAATCCCACCTGAAGACCTACCTCTTCGAAGACAACTAGGATCACCTCCCCTTCTCCCTTCTCCCTTGCTCAGTGTCTGACCCCACCACAATATAGCACTCGGAGACACTATCCTGTGTGAAGGGAGCTGGGTAAGGGTACGCTTCTGTTTGTGTGACCCCATTGATGTACGCAAATTGTACGCATTGGCTGCCGCATTTATCTATAAAATACACAGTCACTACACTTTACAGGGAAATTCTAGCTTGAAAGCCATTATATCTAACGGTACGGAGTGTTGGTTAATGTTATTTTTTATATTAAGGAGTTTTTTTTAGCAAAATCTTTGTGATCTCATGGTAGTTCCTTCCCAGTTGCCATAGTGAGCACCACTGCTCACTGTCAGCACAGCCCAGACCTCAGTCATCAGCTGGGAGGGATGGCAGTTCAATAATAATGTTGATAATAATAATAATAATAATAATCCTTGCATTTGATATACAGTCTCATCACATCTTTGAGACGTCTCAAAGCGCTTCACAGAAAATACAGCAACACAACTTGCATGTATACAGCGCCCTTCACATGGGGTAGTGTCCTGGAGTGTTTGCGAAGATTGTCATATACTATAAAGTAACTGTGTCTTTTGTGGTCAAAACCCGACAGCCAATTGTCCCAGAACCATTCATGGATTGAGAGATCACATTAGTATTTAAAATAATCTTTTTTTGGAAGAGATTAATAGTGAAACCAGCTATTCTAGCAGATTAGTGCAGGGATTAACGGCAGCGTAAAACTATTTAAGATACATTTAAAACCCAAACCCAAATTGTTGATTGTTTTCACCCCTTCTGCCCTCTGGAGCTCTCTGCTCCAAATCCCCCCACTTTGCCCCCCGCTTTGAAAAGCCCACCTTAAAGTAACACCTCTTTGTCCTCCTCCCACTCAGTCTTTGTGAAACTCTAGGAGAGGTTCGTGCTAAGTAGAAGGTGCTGTATAGGTGCAAATTGTTAATCACAGTCCTTGCATTTGATACAGCGCCTTTTGTCCGCTGACAGGACGTGTCAAAGAGCATCACAGGACATACTGTAAAATGTGGGCCAACCCAGCAGCCAATATGAACAGCCATGAAGTGACTGGCCAATTTTACCTGGGAATTTTAACATCCACCTGAACAGGCAAACAGGACCTGTTGTTCATCACACAGAGGATACAGTTCAAGATCCTGGTCCTCACCTTCAAAGCCCTCCATGGTCTTGCTCCCCTCTACCTCTACGACCTCCTAACTCCCCACCGAGCTGCTCGCTCCCTCCGCTCAGTGGGCTCCGGCCTGCATCACGTCCCCCGCCTTGCCCACCCCACCATTAGCGGTCAGGCCTTCTGCCACTCTGCCCCCACCCTCTGGAACCCATCTCAAGACCCTCCTCTTCAACTGTGCCTTCGGTCATCCTCCTTCCCCCCTTGCCTCCACCTACCCCGATCCCAACACCCAGCTCAGGCCCGAAACACGGATTGTCCAGCGCCTTGGGACGTCCTCCCGATGTGAAAGGCGCTATATAAATGTAATTTTGTTCTTGTTGTTACTGTTGTGGTCATTGGGGAAATCTGAGTGTGATGTCCTCCAACGTTACAAGTTTTTTTTTTGTTGTGCACTTTATCGAGTTACCAGCTAGATTTAAGACTTCTATATATTTGTTGATGCCGTTATTTCCCCTGTTATTTCCCTACTATTTCCTTCCTTTCCCCGTAAATCCCATTATTCCTTGTTATTTCTTGCATTATTCCCCCCCCGTTAATTCCCCCTGTTAATTCCTCCTGTTAACTCCACTCTTAATTGTCCCATTAATATCCCCCATTAATTCATCCCATTAATTTACTCAATATTTCCTCCGCTATTTCCCCGGGTTATTTCCAAGTTAATTTTCACCTTTAATTCCCCCGTTACTACCCCCCGTTAATTCCCCTCATTAATTTCTCCCATCATTCTCCTCCCCCGTTTATTTCCCTGTTAATTTGTCCCTGTTAATTATCTCCTGTTTATTATCTCCCGTTCATTATCTTCCATTAATTTCCCTCTGCTCTTTCCCATTAGTTTCCTCAGTTAGTTAACCCCGTTAATCTCCCCCCATTAATTGCTTCCCGCTGATTCTCCGACAGGCTGTGTGAGGTGCTCAACCTGGACCCCAGACATGTGCTGATAGCAGAGGTGGTCTTTACCAACATCGGGGGAGCGGCCACAGCTGTGGGAGACCCCCCCAATGTCATCATCGTCTCCAAACAGGAGCTGCGGAACCAAGTAACTTGCCCTTTACCCTTACTTTATTATAATATAATAATAATAGTAATCCTTGCATTTCATATAGCACCTCATCACGTCTTCGGGATATCTCAAAGTGCTTCACAGCATATGCTCTAAAGTGAATTGACTGGATATTTGTAGGCGAAACACAGCAGCTAATTGTGCATGGCAGTGTCCCAAAAACTGTCGTGGATTGAGTGACCAAATTATTTATTGATGTATTCATTTCTTTATTTTTGAAGGGATTATTACCCTTGGAAAATGATCCGACAATCGATTAAGAGCTGGGTTCCTACTTACTACTGATGAACATAGGCGTGTGGAGTAAGGAAACTTGCTATAAGGTTTGCCCCAGGAATCAAACTCAGGCCTTCTCGCTTTCGAGGCGAGTGCTCTAACCAATACGCTACAGGACACCTGTATGTAAGAAGGATGATTACTTAAGCCAGAAATCATTCATTCCTAATTGCGTTGCATTTCGAAGATGTAAATTTGAATTATTCAGCTCCTTTTTCAAGTCGGAGTTAATGTGAAGCCACTGCGTGTGGAGCGAGGACATGAGGTGCAAATTAATCTTTAGCTTCTTTGTTCCATTAATTTTGAACCCTTGAAAATGGCTTTAACCCTAAAGGAAGTGCAAGGATTGTATCTCTCTGTCCTTCCTGGCTCCGGCCTCCTGCTTGTCCCTTTGCGCCCTCCGTTCCACAATCAGTGGCCGCGCTTTCAGTCATCACACCCTGAAACTCTGGGACACTCTTCCTCTATCCCTCTACCTTGCCCCTCCTTCCCCATCTTCAAGGTCATGCTTGAAGACCTTCCTCTTCAACTGTACCTCCCTCCAGCTCGGCATTGTGTTCTGCCACTGTTAAAAGCGCTCTGGGACGCTACCCTGCATGAGGGGCACTATATATAAACACAAGTTGTTGTTGATGTTGTTGAAAATCCTCTTACCTTGCATTCGAACACCCTTCTAAATCCCCTTTCTCTTCAAACACCCTTCCCAATCTTCTTCCTGATTCCTGCCCTTATCTACAATGTCAGCCTGGCTCAGTCAGGAGCACTCTCACTTCTGAGCCAGAAGGTTGTGGGTTTCAAGGCCCAAGTTGTGAGGTCTTTCAGCTCACAACTCCAACGCGGTGACGAGGGGAGCACTGCATTGTCAAAGGTGCCGTCCTTCGGATGAGACATTAAACCGGAGTCCCTTCTGCCCTTTCGTGGTTAAAGCACCTCAATTAAGCCAAAGGAATAATGTTTCCTACAAAATGCACAATCACCACTTCACAATAAAATCCCATGAAACACTTTGAGACGCTTCAGTGGCAATGATACAGCACAATGTCAAATGCAAGGATTATTCTTAGTATTATTTACCATTAATGGTGAGGTGCTTATCTCCCAGGGTACTGTTTGAAAAGAGACTTTCCCTCGGTGTCCTGGCCAACAATCATTCAAATCAGCATTAGTTGTTCCTTTATGGCTAGGTGTGGGACATTGCCTGTGCATAAATCAGCTGTCGTCTTCTCCCACAAAAAGATGACAGTAAACAAATGGTGCCGTAGCCATCCTATTGTATTTGGAGGAATATGTTTCCACTTGCAACAGGAACAACAACTTGCATTTACAAAGCGCCCCTCACGCTGGGTAGCGTCCCAGAGCGCTTGACAGTGGCGGAGCACGGCACTGAGCCGGGGCGGGAAGGGAGAGGTGACCGTAGGCTCGATCGAAGAGGAAGTTCATCAGGCGCGATCTGAAGATGGGGAAGGAGGGGGCAAGGTAGAGGGATAGACTTTCAGGACGTAGTGGCTGGAAGTATGGCCGCCGATGGTGGAATTGGAGGACACCGGCAACATGTAGGAGGCCAGAGCCGGGCGAGTGGAGGCTGCGGGTTGTGGGTTGGGGGGGAAGCAGGTCGGGGAGGTAGGGAAGTGCCAGGGATTTGAAGATGAGTGTGAGGATCTTGAAATCGATCTGTTCTACGATAGGAAGCCAGTGGAGCCCGGCTAGAACTGATGTGATGGGGGTACAGAGTTTAGTGCGGATGTTTCAAAGAGGACTAGGCACTGAAACCTTGGAGGGAGGGCGGGTTGGGGGAGGCACGGACGTTCAGCAGTTCTGAGGTTGTGAAGTGGAGGAGGTAGTTGGGTGGGATGGGGGGGACGAAAGGGGAGAGAGTAGGGTGGGCTGCAGGAGCCTGCAGAGATAGATTACAGTGGGATCTTTGCTGCTTGAAATCGTAGTAATAATAATCCTTGCATTTGATATAGCGCCTTATCACATCTTTGGGACGTCTCAAAGCACTGCACAGAATAAACCGTAAATGAATTGACTGCTTGCAATGCGAAGAGTTAAAAGCCTTTCATGGATTCTGCCTTCAGTGGGGTGGGAGAAAATTAACTAGTTCTCGATTCTACATTACCCAACTTAATGTCTGTTTAATTCCTGTATCACGGCAGATTAACCTTCTGGAACGCGTTAATATTCATTAGAATACCCTCATTGATAGAATGTGCAAGAGGTTGCAAGTGAATGACAAGAGATCAGTCATTAGCAATGGCAAATTGAACCGTGCTGTGAATTCTACACAAACAGCCTCTCCTCTCTCCCTCCCCCTGGTCTCGTCTGTGTGCACGTGGACTTCAAAGGTCCCATCGCGCCGGTCGAAAAAAGAAGGAAGTTTCATCCCTCCCGGTGTCCTGGCCAACAATCCAGATAGAACAGGTCGCTCACTCCATGTCCGCTTGTGGGGATAGTGCAAATTGGCTGCCGCATTCGCCCTCAAAACACACAGTCGCTACACTTTATCGTCTAAAACGCGCTTTGAAACGTCCTCCCGACGTGAAAGGCCCAGAACAAAGTAAGGATTCTTATATTATTGTTTATCACTGTTAATTTTTTTTAAAAAAATTTCGACTGGACATTTTTGTTGTCATTCTCTATCAGACTCCCCCCAGCCTCCCCGCCCCAACTCCAACCCCCTCTGTCTCCACTGCAGCATAGATTTAATGGTCCACAGAATGAGGGAAGAGACTTACTGGTGATTTACTGATGGAGACCACTTTTAGATAGACGTGGGTGAGATGTTATGTAGCAAATTTTGTGTAGCAGCTTTATTGCTTGTGTTTGTAATAGCTCACGGAGCTGAGCACCACATGAGGACCAGGGAGAGAGAGAGGACGTGCTCAAACCTTCGAGAGCTTAAAATAGATCAACAACAGACCACAAAAGCCTAGTTTGAAGAATTTAGAGTAATTGCGCTGCTACAGAGCCTTTCATGTCAGGAGGATGTCTCAAAACGCTCCCCAAGACTTACTGCGTAATGAATCTATATTCTCTAAGTGAACTTAGTCGCAAATCATGGGGCAAAAATACATTTGCATAATGCTCTAAAGTGCAACAACAACAACAACTTGCATTTAGATAGCGCCTTTCACACAGGATAGCGTTGCAAAGAAGGATTTTCTTTTTGTCCAGGAACATAGGCCATTCAGCCCTCCGAGCCTGTGTGAGTGATAAAATGCTCCCTGATTTCACTCTGAAAAACAAGATTGGATTACTCTGTCTGTGTTTGTAAAACGATTCTTTCATTGGATGGTAAACTTTGGAAAAAGCACGGTATTTCTCGACTGCATTCCTTAACCTGTCACAAATCCCACTGTTTATACGCATTTGCAATGCGTTCCTTAGTCCACTCATCCACTCCACCCATTCAGCTTCTGGTCCCAAAGCCGAAGGCAGAAAACAATCCAGAACTTTGATTCTTCTCCTACACTATGAGGAGTTTTAATAGAGTAAATAAGGAGAAACTGTTTCCTCTGGCGGGAGGATCGATAGAGGACCCAGATTCAAGATAATTGGGAAAAGAACCAGAGGGGAGATGAGGAGAAATTGTTTTACGCAGCAAGTTGTTACGGTCTGCAATGCATCGCTTGAAAGGAAGGTGGAAACTGATTCAATAACAAGTTTCAAAAGGGAATTAGATATATGTTTGAAAAGAAAAAGATTGCAAGGCTATGGGGAAAGAGCGGGGGAGTAGGACTAGTTGGTAGCTCTTTCAAAGAACTGGCACAGGCACAATGGGCCGAATGACCTCCTTCTGTGCTGTAATTTTCCATGATTCTATGGTCCTTCTTTTGAACCCTATCTTGCTCTTCAATCAAAGACCAGCATTAGCTCTCCCTCTGAGCCCCAGCAACAACAACAACAACAAAATTACATTTGTAAAGTGTCTTTCACATCAGGAGGATCTGCCAAGGCGCTGGACAGACTGTGTTTCAGACCCGAGCTGGGAGTTGGGGAGGGTGGAGGGCAGGGGAGAAGGAGGGTGATCGAAGGCATGGTCAAAAGAGGAAGGTCTTGAGACGGGTCTTGAAGGAGGCAAGGGAGGGGATGAGGTGGAGAGACTGTGGGATGGAGTTCCAGAGAGTGGGGGCAGAGTGGCGGAAGGCCAACCTGCCAATGGTGGGGCAGGTGAGGCGGGGGATGTGAAGCAGACCAGAGCCCGGTGAGCGGAGGGAGCGAGCAGGATGGTAGAGGGTTAGGAGGTCGCAAAGGTAGGGGGGAGCAAGACCATGGAGGGCTTTGAAGGTGAGGACCAGGATCTTGAACTGTATCCTCTATGTGATGGAAAGCCAGTGGAGTCGGGTGAGCACAAACCATTGTATTCTGTGGCATATTTACTCATGTCAATTTCTTGTGATATGTGATAATGTGCTATATCAATTGCAAGGATTATTATTATTAATTAATGGGTATGGAATGCAACATGGAGGATTGAAAATCAAAGTGGTGGAGGATGGGACACTGTCAGCTATTCAGTATTACAGAAGGCTTCAGGTGATGAGTGTCCTGTTAGTTACATAATCCTTGCATTTGATACAAAGCACTGATGTTTCATAGGATATTACTGTAAAGTGTAGTAACTGTGTATTTTGTAGGTGAAACCGGCAGTAAATTTGTGATTTCCAGAACAGCAATGAAACAAATGAACAATTTTATCTGAGTGATTGTTAAAAATAATAATCCTTGCATTTGATATAGCGCTTTTCATGTCGGGAGGACGTCCCAAAGCGCTTCACAGAACACACTGTAAAGTGAATTGACTGTATATTTGTGGGCGAACGCGGCAGCCAATTGCGCACAGCAATGTCCCACAAACAGTCGTAGATTGAAAATGACCAATTTATTATTGTTTTTGGTTTTGGAGGGATTATTATTAGGCTCTGTGTGGAGTAAGGAAACTTGCCCGAGGTTTCGCCCTCTGCCTGGAATTGAAAGGCGCTCTATAAATGTCATTTTGTTTTTGCTGTTGTTATCCTGTAAAACGCTTCGAGATATCTCAACGATGCGATCCAATGCAAGGATTGTTATTATTATCCGAAGGACGGCACCTCTGACAATGCAAACTCCCCCAGCACTGCACTTGAGTGTCAGCCTGGGTTGTACGAACTCAATGTCCTGAGGTGGGGCTTGAACCCATAGCCTTCTAACTCTGAGACGAGAGTGCTACCAACTGAGCCAGCCTGAAGCTTGGATACCAGTAACAGCTCGAAGCCCCTCTCTTTTACTGCCTGGTTATCACTCATGCGCTGCGCTCCTTTCTTTAAAAAAAACACTAATCATTTTGTTGGCTGGCAGGCGGGGTGGTGGGGGGGGGGGAGGGGAGGAGAGGCGGACGAGGAGGTTTATTCTCTTTTCAATACATTTATTTTGTGCTGGTAACAGCTGCCGCATTGATCGATGACACCGAGGTTCGGGTTGAATGATTGAAATGCCAATACTGCACATTAACGGAGAAGTGATGTGAGGTTGAACTCTCTGGCCACAGTGTGTATTGTTGTGCGGGAGTGGGTGTGCGGGGAGTTTACTGGGAGCCGGAAGGCCAAAGAGAATAATAATAATGATAATAATCCTTGCATTTGACACAGCGCCTTATCACATCTTCGAGACGTCTCAAACCGCTTCACAGAACACACTGTAAAGTGAATTTACTGCGCCCTGAAACTCCGGATCGCCGACCTCAATCCCTCCGCCTTGCCCTCTATCTCCACTTTTTCAAGTCCCGCCTGAAAACCTTTCACTTCGACCGTGCTTACGGCCACTTCCCCCTACCCAAGCCCCCCCCACCCCGGCTCGGAGTCAGGCTCCACCACCGTTAAACGCTCTGAGATGCTACCCTGCGTGGAGGACGCTGAATAAGTGCAAGTTATTGTTGTTGCATGTTTTACGGGCAAACAGCGGCAGCCAACTGCCCACATCAGTGTCCCACAAACAGTCGTGGATTGAGTGACCAAAGTATCATTATTATTTTTTTAAGGGACTATTACCCCCGGAAAGCGATCCGCCAATTGGCTAACAACTGGGTTCCTCGTCAAACCATGACTGTTTGTGGGACACTGCTGGGGGCAATTGGCTGTCGCGTTTCACCCACAAAATATACAGTCGATTCGCTTTGCAGTGTGTTCTGTGAAGTGCTTTGAGACGTCTAGAGGATGTGATAAGGCGCTAGAGCAAACACAAGAATTATTATCATCACATTGTCGAGACTTCTCAAAGTGCTTCAGTGCTTTATTTTACTGTAAAGTGTAGGTAAACACCGCAGACGGTTTGCACACAATGTCCTACAAACAGCCATAAATGACTGATTTTATTGGGGAGAGTGTTGGGGGATAGTGCCACTGGATCTTTAACATCCACCTGAATGGATAGATGGGACCTTGGTTTAATGTCTCTTCCAAAATATGGCACGTCTAATGTTAGGACTAGATTGTCTGACGTGTGCAGAATCCATCACCAGGCTTAAGAGTATCCAAACCAGACTGAGAGTTCCACATATGTATCCCACTTACACATAGAGATTTCCTTATGTCCGGAATGGAATGCACATTCTCTTCCCAGAGGGACAACAACAACATTAAATTTGTAAAAGGCCTTTCATGTCGGGAGGACGTCCCAAGGCGCTGGACAATCCATGTTTTGGACCCGAGCTGGGGGTCGGGATTGGGGAGATGGAGTTCAGGGTGGGGAAGGAGGGTGACTGAAAGCACGGTGGAGCGGGCGAGGCGGGGTACGTGAATCAGGCCGGAGCTCACTGAGCGGAGGGAGCGGGCAGGATGGTAGGGGGTTAGGAGGTCGCTGAGGTAGGGGGCAGCAAGTCCATGAAGGGCTTTAAGGGTGAAGACCAGGATCTTGAACTGTATTCTCTGTGTGATGGGAATCCACTGGAATTGGGTGAGGATGGGGTTGATAGGGTCACGGAGCCTGGTGAGGGAGAGGACACGGGCTGCAGAGTTCTGGATGATGGGGGACAGCTGAGCGGGTCATGGCATGAATGTGGGGTAGGAAGGATAGTTGAGGGTCAAACAAGATGCATCCTACTTACCTAATTCGGGTGCTATTTGCAGGTTGGCAAGTGCCAAGGCTTGGGGAACCCAGAGTGTGCGTTGAGGTAACTGCTGGAATTTAACTAGCTAAAACCTCATAGCTTGCCATTGACAGCACTGTTTGGCAAGCTTTCCCGCTCCTTGTCCAGCTATGATCACGAACCCATTAGGGCTTTGGCCTGCAGGGTTGAGAGTGGGAGGATTTCCTATCCCAGTGACTGGTCTGCCCTTCCAAATCCATGTCCAATGAGCCAGGCTGGGCTGTGCTGTCATCAGCAGTGCCCTGGAATACTGTGGACCTACATGGCTGAGGAGTATGATTATCCACTACAGAGGGAGGGAGGGAGGGCTCGATTCTGACATTCGGTTGCCAAACACACAGCCTTGAGTAGACACCGCTTACCTCCTCCCCCGAAGGAGAATCATCACAGTTGGTTAGAGGTGGAATGCTAAGCTGCTGAAATCAGTGTCGAAAGCTTGAGAGTGAAACATTGCTCACTGAACGTACCCCTCGAGCCTCTGTGGAGCAAGCAATCGGCAAAGCAAAGATTGAGCCCTGTTTGAAAGGCTGAAAAATAAATCAATAAACCTCCAGCGGGACATCGCTGGCGTTTAACATCACCAAGCCAATCAGGGAGGTACAATGGGCTGCCAGCACTCTCGAGCCTTCACGCTGTGTCTCGGAAACGCGAGAACGTTCTAGTTTGTTTCCTCGGTTTCTTGGGTCGATAATCAGCTTCAGCAGCTAAAGAAACTGCACCCAGAGAAGCTCGTCACTTACGGTGACAGTAAAAGCTACAGATCGCGGGAGGCGATTTTACGGTATTTCATAATGGGTTTGTTTGGTTTGACTTCCAAATTAGGACTGAATTGAGTTTGAACTTTTCAAAATGACGCATCGACTTGAATTTTGAGACACTGTTCTCAAGTCTATACGTAGCCTCTGGTGTTAGCCTGACTCAGTTGGTAGCACTCTCGCCTCTGAGTTAATTAAATAATTATTATAACTGATAAAGCCATTAATAGTTGTTGTTAATAATAAGGGCATTAAGAACTCACTGCCAGAGCTGGGATTGAAGTGAGGAGCATCAATGTAATGAAGAGGAAACTTGATGATTCATGTGGGAGAATGGAATAGAAGGGTAGGAGGGCGGTAGGGGCGGGGGGTATAAATACCAGCACAGATTAGTTGAGTTGAATAGCTCGTTCCATTGGTCCTACGTTTTCTGTGATTACACTACACTGTCACTACACTACACTTTACAGTAAACCCCATGTAGCATTTTGAGACACGCTCTCGACGTGAAAGGTGCTCTATCAAATGCAAGGATTATTACTGTTTGTTATGATTAATGCTTCTCTTTCTCTCGTCACTGAAGGGGTTCGATTTTGCACAGTTCACTGGCCACATGTTTGTGGGAGTTGCCTTGGTCCTTCTGGTTTCCTTCCCTTTCCTGAGACTGTTGTATTGGAACAAAAAGCTGTACAACAAGGAGCCGAGCGAGATTGTAGGTGAGTAATTCAACACTGTTTTTATGCCTTGTACTGTTACAGTTTTAATAATAATAATAATCCTTGCATTTGATATAGCGTCTTATCACGTCATTATCCGTGCTTTCTGTCACCCTCCCACCCTTACCATTCCCGTCTCCACCCCTCCTGATCCCAACTGCCAGCTCGGGTGCAGATCCCTGACTGTCCAGCGCTTTGGGATATCTTCCTGACGTGAAAGGCGCTATACAAATGTAATTTGTTGTTTGTTGTTGCTGTTGATTGAGTGATCAAACATTTTCCACGACTGTTTGTGGGACACTGCTGTCCGCAATTGGCTGCCGCGTTTTGCCCACAAAATATACAATCAATTCACTTTACAGTATATTCTGTGAAGCGCTTTGAGACGTCTCAATGACGTGATAAGACGCTATATCAAATACAAGGATTATTATATGACTGAATCGTTGCTGCCTCCAAGGAATTACATAGAGTAATAATAATAATAATAATCCTTGCATTTGATACAGCGCCTTATCACGTTATCGAGACATCTCAAAGCGTGGATTGAAGTGACCAATTTATTATTGGTTTATTTTTTCGGGAATCAAACCCAGGTCTCTCGCCTGCGAGACGAGTGCTTTAACCACTGAGCTACAGGACTCCAAGTAATATGGGTTGGAAGCATATATATTTATATTTCACACGAGGCCCCCATCTCTCCTTTTCCCTTCCTCCCCTACAACCCCCTATTCCCTTCTCCTTCATGTATGCATATGAAAGGACGTACATATGAAATGAAAATGCTGTGCTCCACCTCAGTAAGTTAAGGTGCCATGCATTAAAGTAATATTGACCTATATAATTGCTAGCGGTTCCGGGGGCAACTTTCAAAATAAATCTCCAATGTAAGCAACAATAGCTATTTCACGAACGGTTGCTATTATTATTAATCAGCCAGAGGCATCTCGGTAAATTGTATTTACAGAAAGTAATTTGGTGAGTTGATGGGTGAACGCAGGGAATCTCTTAAATACCATTAGTTTCCTCTTCCCTCTCAGGGTGTATCATTTAATTTTGTGGATGATATTAGATTCCGGTTGAAATTGCTCTTTGTCCTACAAGTTTTGTATGCCAGCCTGGCTCAGTTGGTAGCTCTCTCGCTTCTGAATCAGAAGGTTGTGGGTTTGAGTCCCACCTCAAGACTTTGAGCTCCTGTAGTCGAGGCTGATGTGTGAGACGATAAAATTGTCTGCAGATGTTAAAGGTTTCCTGGCACAATTTGAACGCAGAAGGGAGATTCTCCCAGTGTCCTGGCCAACAATTCACCAAATAAAATTGGTTGTTCCCTTCATGGCTGTTGCTGGACATTGCACTATTCTGAATACTAGGAGCACTGAGCTAGGAGCACTACATGTGAGATTGTTCAGCTCAGTTTTAGTCTGACAGCTATACCGGTGTGTAATCTTCAGTCCTGCATCTTGTAACTTGCCGCATGTTACAGTGACCTCACCGTGATTTCAATGGTGCCTTTTAGCTCACAGTCAAACTGACCTCATTTTGATCCACTGAAAATCAGCACAGAAATCCACCTCGTCTTAGCTTTAATGTATAACCAATCTGTCTTAAGACCACAACAATATGTAGCACAGAAGCCCCATTGCGCGTGTGCAGGGTCTCTGAAAGCTATTCAAATGGGAGAACGTCCCAAAGCGCTTCACAGGATATACTGTGAAACGTGGTTACTGTGTGCTTTGTAGGTGAATACAACTGGTATACTTCCCCTATCTCCTCCGTGCCACCATCAATGGCCGTGCCTTCATCACTATGCTCCTAGCCTCCAGAGCTCCCTGCCTCAATCCTCTACCTCCCCCTCTTTATCTATCTTTATATCCCACCTGAAGAACCATCTCTTGGACCAGTTCTTTGGTCACTTGCCTCTGACTCTGTTCCCTTGCCTGGCACACAACCACAGGGACAGGGCTCTGAGATGCTTTCCTACATGAAGGCACGGTATAAATGCAAGTTGGTGCTGTTGTTCTTCGAGTGTCTTTTTAACGGGTTTGAGTGCAGCCTCTATCACACAGTGCGTTCAGTGCAGGTTCCCAGGAGCAGTCAGGCGTTGCTAGGATGTGGCTTTGTGTCCTGTGAATCACGCAGCTCGACAGCTGAGAGGTTTACTCTAATACAATTTCTGATGGAAAGCCGACGTGAGAATAGGGTTCAACCGATCTCGTTGCAGAGACATCAGGGGTCAGTCATCATCAGAGGGGGCTGGCAGGCAATACAACAGAACCGAACGATAGACTTCTGTCCACGTTTGACCAAGGAGAGGCAGATAATAATAATAATAATAACCCTTCCATTTGATATAGAATCATAGAATATTATGATTTGAGATTTGAGACTTCTTGAAGATGTGATGAGGCACTATATCAATTGCAAGGATTATTATTATTACAGCACACAAGGAGGCCATTCGGTCCATTTTGCTCGTGCCGCTTCTTTGGAAGAGCTATCCAACTAGTCCCACTCCTCCCGCTCTTGCCACATAGCCTTGCAAATCTTTCCTCTATCCAAGTACCTTTTTGAGTACCTATAGCACCTTGTCATGCCTTCGAGACGTCCCAAAGCGCTTCAAAGAATACACTGAAAAGTAAATTGACTAGATGTTCTGGGCGAAACTAGGACTCTTCAGTCTTAAGAGAAAATGATTCAGAGGGGACCTTCCAGACGTCTTTAAAATGTTAAATAGGATTGAAACAGTAAACCCAGAACAATATCTAGGATGCATCAAAACAGTAGAACAAGAAGACACAGATATGGACCGACTATGTATGCGTCACAGATATGGGGCTGAATTGGTTAAATCTGGTGTCAGTTTTTACATGGGGCCCAGCTGTTGGTGACGGGCTAAGTTTTGCTGTTTGTTGCTCCCAAATCCTGACAGAAAAACAAATGGGGAAAAGGTGATTGTTTTCTTGCTGCTCTCCAAACGCCAGCCAATTCAATCAGCAGCAATCATTGGGGTTGCATATCCCCACCCCATCTGCTGCTACACGACTTTCCTCTTCCTCTGGTTCCTGGATAAGGTGCTATATCAAATGCAAGGATTATTATTATTATTATAATTATAATTATTATTAGTTAATCACATACTGCAACTTTTAGCTATTTTACAGCTTTCTGCTTTGCAAGTTAAACACTCGGCCTAATAAAGCACTGCTCTGTCTTTTGAGCACTCGTTTCCCCACTTTATGCTCAGTCCCCTTGTCTTTACTTATTGCTCTGACTCTCAATCTCTTTCCCCAGAACTGAAGCACGAGATTCACGTGTGGCGATTGACTGCCCAGCGCATTAACCCCGCCAGCCGAGAGGAGACTGCAGTGAAATGTCTCCTGATGCAAAAGGTTCTCACACTGGAGAGTGTGCTCAGGAAAAAACTCAGGACGTTCCAAAGGTACGTTATTACAATGATAATAATCCTTGCATTTGACATAGCATCTAATGTTGTTGAGACGTCTCAAAGCGCTTCAAAGAATATACTGTAAAGCGAATTGACTGTATGTTTTGTGGGTGAAATGCGGCAGCCAATCCCCACTGGCAGCCGTGGATTGAGTGACCAAATTATTATTATTTTTAAAAAAAGGGATTATTACACCCAGAAAGCGATCCACCGATCGATTTCAACCGGGTTCCTACTTACTGTTAAACAGGTAAACAGAGATGTGTGGAGTAAGGAAACTTGCCCAAGGTTTCGCCCTGCCCGGGAATCGAACCTGGGTTCTCTGACTTGCAAGGAGAGTGCTCTAACCAATACACTACAGGACTCCATTGTGCCGATCACCATCCTGCCACGTCTGCTCAATGTTTAAGCTTTGCTTTAGAAACGAGCTGGAAGCCTAAGCCTGTATAAGGCTCAGTCAACAACGTTCACGTGCTATTCCCGTTGGGACGCTTCTTAATCTACTCAACCCACCGACCTGAAATTAAATTTCAGATGATTTATCGACACCATAATTTGCATTTAAATACTACCGACTTTATGCTTTGCTACTCCGTATCCTATCTGGTTCTTTCGCATTCCACTGAGATCCCCAGTGTCTGGGTCTGGGGCCACTCCACAGTTTGAACTTCATGTTCACTGATTTTCTTTTTAATTGAATCTGTGAAGGTTTGTGCATTTTCTTGTCCCAAGATACAAGGAAGGTTAAACGGTGCCTTGCCACTGTCTGTATGTACATATACAAATGTACGGACACACATACACACACGCATCCAGACATATAAACACACATACACACATGCACACAGTTTTTTTGGGGTAACACATATGGAAACCCATCACCGTGCTTAAGAATATCCATATCAAACTGATAATTCCATGCATCCCACCTACACATGGAAATCCCAGAGATATTTATTGGAATGGATTGTGCAGTCTCTCTCTGGAGGGATTCATCCAGCTTACCTAATTCTGAAGAGTATTAAGGTTGGCAGGAGAAAAGGCTTGAGGACCCCAGGGTATACGTTGGGGGTAAGTGCTGGAGTCTAACCAGCTAAAACCGCACAGTTTGCCATTGATATCACTGTCTGGTAATCTTTCCCGCTGCTTGTCCAGCTCGGACCATCTTACCCGTTAGGGCTTTGGCTTGCAGGGTTAACAGGAACTGAGTGGGAGGATTCCCTGCCCCCACTGCCCTTCCAATTCCCACCGATGAGCCAGGCTGGGCTGTGCTGCCATCAGCCGTGCCCTGGAATACTGCGGACCCACCTGGCTCAGGATCTGGTCTAATAAGTCCGCCACAATTCTGACATTCTGTGGCCTAACATGTTATGTTGGAGCCAGTTCAGCACAAAGTAAATCCCGCTTACCTCCTCCCCCAAATAGGGTAGTCACTAGTTGGTCATTTGACATCCGACAAGCACGGGTTTGAGCCCAAACGCACACACCATCGTACATTATATTTTCCTTTGGTGGAGAGTGTATTTGCTGTCCAGGGGCAAAACGGTGAAAAGCGGGAACCAGGGAACAGATCCGAATTAAAGCAGGGAATATTAAACTCTAAAACTACACCCATGTTACTCAAATCGTCTCACTGAGTATTCTCAAGTCTGGAACAAGCTTAATGTTGGAGACTGCACCTTCTGACTGTTCAGGGCACAGCGTTTGAGTGAAAGGCTGAGCCGCCTGTGAAAACAGCCAATACCACTTGACAGTAGTTACTGTAAATTGATCTTATAATAATCCTTGCATTTGATATAGCGCTGTTCACATCTTCTAGACGTCCCAAAGCGCTTCACAGAATATACTGTAAAGTGAATTCACTGTATATTTGTGGTCGAAACGCAGTAGCGGACATCAGTGTCCCACAAACAGTCACGGATTAAGTGACCAAATTATTATTATTTATTATTTTATTTCTTGAGGGATTATTATCAGACGTGTGGAGTAAGGAAACTTTCCCAAGGTTTCGCCCTGCCGGGAAGTGAACCCGGGTCTCTTGCTTGCAAGACGAGTGCTCTAAATTTGAATTTCTCCCAGTGTCCTGGCCATCAATTTCCTCACTTCATGGGTGTTTTGGGGGCAGGCCCCTGCATTCACCTACAAATACACAGTCACTACAGTTTGCAGTAAACCCTGTGAAGGGCTTTGAGGTGTTTTGAGAATGGAATAAGATGCTATATCGATTGCAAGGATTATTTTGCACAATCATTACATTTAATAGAAATTACTGTAAAGCGTTTTGAGACATTTTGATGCAAGGAATATTATTATTATATTGTCAATACAATAAACTGCTGAAAAAGTGCTTTCTTCAGTCATAAAGGCAACACTTGGATAGTCCCGCTACAGTTTACAATATTTGATATAATATTTTCTATTTTAGGCAAATTTCTCAAGATGACAAAAACTGGGAAAGCAACATTCAGGAACTGCAGAAAACAGTAAGAGATTTTTCTTCTCACGTATTTTTCTCCTCCTTTCCCCCTTCCACAGTGTCCTAGTCAGCAACCTCCCGATTAAAACTGGTCATTAATTTTATTGCTGGTTTGTGGCACATTACTCTTCAACCTTCCCCTTTTCCCTTGCGTCCAACCCCACCACTGTGTAGCGCTCCGAGACACTATCGTACGTGAAAGGTGCCATATTGTTACTGGAGTTTAAAGACCAAAAGCCACTGTGTAGATGCCATTGTGAAAAGTGCGTGGCTAGCTTCCCGCAGCTAGGGTCCCCTACCCTTTATAGCTTTTTTGGCACTAACAGGAGCTGAGAAGACTAAATCCCTGCCTTCGGTGACCTGTCTTCTCCTCCATCATCTCCTTTACCATCAACAGTGATGGAGCCGAGGTCACACCTGCCTTGGAGTTCTCTACGGTTATGAAAAGTGGAAAGAATTAACAATTTTCAGCGTGGGCTAGTTGTTTCGTTCGGCGAGTTAGCTTAACTTTCCGGCATTAGGTAAATAGGATGTTCCACCAGGGAGAGAGTGCGCATTCCGTTCCAACAACCTATCTCTGGGATTTCCACGTGTAGGTGGGAGGCCTGGAATCCTCTGCTTGGTTTGGATACTCTGAAACACGGTGATGGGTTTCCGCACGCGTCAGACACAACGGGTGACCACCCCCCAAAATTTAAAACAATTTCTGTTGATGATGTGGGGAGAAAAAAAAAAGGAAGCAAGCGGGATGTTCAGAGGCATTAGAGAGCGGGGTGAACACCCACCCATACACACACACAAGATTAGTTTAGATGAAGAAATGCCCTTAAACCTATCCAATCTCACCTCTCCAGAACACCCACACTCCCATTTCCCCCATCACTGCATTAAGCTGCTTTTTAAATGAGTCCCAATGACCTGACGTCAAACACCTTTCCTGGCGACCTGTTCGAGTCGCTGATTACGCTCAGCGTAAAGACCTCACAATTACAATTGCGCTCAATTGTGTCACCAGTGTTGCAGTGGGCGACAGGAGAATGAGCATTTAAAAGGTAATGCGATTTGTTAGTTATAACATAAAGTAAATTAGCTGCTTATTGAAAGAGTTTTTTTTGTTGTAGCGCGTATCCAGCTCTGAAAGGAAAGAGATAAGAGAGAGAGAAAGAGAGAAAGAGAGCAGGATTTTTTTAATATCTTAACTTGTAGGACAGGGAATGAAAATGTACTCTCTGGACCGCAGGTTTTCATTCAAATGTTATCACCCAAATAATATAGGGAGGGGGAAATAACGACAATAATAATAAATCCTTGCATTTATTAACGTGTCTTTTCACATCATGTCTCTTCACAGAAATTTAGTCAGGTGTAGTCACCTCTCTTGTCTTGCCCCCTCTTTGCTCACTGTCAAATCACACCTGAAGACTTTCCTCGTTGACCGTGCCTTCGGTCACCTCCCCTCCCTCTCTGATTCGGTGTCAAACCACACCGAGGTCTTAAGCACTTTGAGACACTATCCACGTGAGGGACGCTGAACAGATTCAAACCGATGTTGTCACTGATTACTTGTAGTCAAACACGTCAATGAATCGGACGCAGCGGTGCCCCACAAACAGCCACAAAGCGAGTGACCAATTTTTTTTATCTGGGGATATTGTCGGCCAGGACACCGAGAGAAACTCCCTTCTCCTTTCGAATCGCGCCGCGGCATCTTTAACATCCAACTGAGCCGTCCGACAGGACCTCAGTTTAGTGTCTCATCCTCACCAAATCCTCCCCAACACTGCAATGGAGTATCAGCCTAGACTGTGAGCTCAAAGTCCCGACATGGGGAAGCTGGGGGTGGGAGAGTGCCACTGACTAAGGTACATGATCCCCCTTTTAAACAACTGTTGATTATATCTTTGCAGCACAGGATAATGGACAAGAGCCTCCTGGTGAAATGTTCAACCGTTTTAGGATTTGTTATCTTCATGTTCTTTCTCAACTCATTTGTTCCTGGCATTCACCTAGACCTTGGTAAGAGAGGCTTCGAGCACATTGCACTCACCTCGAGCACTCACACTTGCGGTTATGATGATTTACAAAGAATGTACAGGATGGAAAAAGCAGTCCGTGCTGATGCTGATATCCACACAAGTCTTCACCCACTCCTTATTCCCTCCAACACCTTTCTTTCTTATGTTCCTATAGCTTTCTTTTAGGAAATAGCACTATGGGATATAATACAGAAGTAGTTTGGGACTTATGTGCATGAGACCGCCAGGAAGGTGGGAGGCGAACTAGATGGACCTTGGTCTTTTTTGTCTAGCATTCCCTATGTTCTTATGTTATTCCCCTCTCCCTCGTGGAGCTCTAGCTTCCTCTTGAACGTATCTACTGAGTCCTGTGGCTTATTGGTTAGACCTCTCGTCTCGCAAAAAAAAGGACCCCAGTTCGATTCTGGACGGGGTGAAATGTTAGGCAAAGTTGCTTACTCCGTGCGCCTCTATTTACCGAGCAGTAAGTGGGAACCTGGTTGTTAATTGATTGACAGATCCCTTTCCGGGGATAATAATCCCTCAAAATTTTTTAAAAAATTGTTTGTGGGATACTGCTGTGCGCAATTGGCTGCCGTGTCAATTCACTTTACAGTATATTCTGTGAAGCATTTTGAGATGTCTCAATGACTTGATAAGGTGCTATATCAAATGAAAGGATTATTATTATCTACACTATTTGATGTATATTTAACTATCTGCAGGAAAACAGTGAAATGCCATTAGTAGACTTGAGACTTGGTTTCCGGATATTGCCGGCCTTTGTTATGCCTTTCTTTCCCTCTCTCTCTGCCTATCTGCTGACATTGTCTTGAGTTCCATGGGGTTACAGTGCTAATTGGGATTGTTCCTCTACTGCTATAAGACTTGCCTTGAGATTACCTGTGAGCTGACACCGTGCGTTTCCTCCCCATTGAAATCCTGTGGACGGTGGCTGCCACCTCTGTGGCCGTTCAAAAAAATATTTCTTGCAGGAAAATGATACCACTGAGAGGGATGAGGAAGAGATAATAAAAATAATAATAATAATAATCCTTGCATTTGATATAGCGCCTTATCACGTCATTGAGACGTCTCAAAATGCTTCGCAGAATATACTTCACAGTGAATTCAGGACTCTAATAGACTTTGATAGTATGTTAGATTACGCTACCTGTACACGCACATACACACTCTGGGCTGAATATCATCTCTTTATGCTCGAAACTTTCTACGATTCTTTATTCTACCAGAATATAAATCCCGCTATGAGTCACTCAAGCGCAGGGTTTAATTATCCATCACCGCGATACAGTTACCTGATGAATTGTGTTCAGTTTAATTTATGGTTGATCCATTTAAACTGCAATTCCATTTCATTATGTGATCGACTTGATTTAAAGGGGCAATTATTGTATTAACATAATTTAATATTTTTACACCATGTAACTTTTTTTTAATGAAGTGATGTGATACGAGGCAAGCTGCCTCCTGCATAGATTATTTCGAGGAAAATTAGGACTCAGCAATGACAAGACTGTGATTCATTACTGATACCGATGCTACAGTTAAGGGGATCATAAGATCATAGACTAAGATTTATAGAGAAAATAAGGAGAAGCTGTTTCCACTGGGGTACCCAGAGGACACAGATTTAAGATAATTGGCAAAAGAATCAGAGGGGAGATCAGGAGAATTTTTTTACCCAGGAATTCATTGCCTGAAAGGGTGGTGGAAGCAGATTCGACAGTAGCTTTCCAAAGGGAATTGGATATGTACTTGAACAGGAAAAAATTGCAGGGCTATGGGGTAAGAGTGGGGGAGTGGGTCTTGTTGGTAGCTCTTTCAAAGAGCTGGCGCAGGCACAAGGGGCAAAATGGCCTCCTTCTGTGCTGTAATATTCATTGATTCTGTGAAGAAGGCCCTTAGAACTGTAGAACCAATGAAACATTACTGTCTGTCCTTAAACTCAGGCCCATTTTACCTATTCAGGCAGACATTAAAGATCCCAAAGCATGAGTCAAAGAGAAGGGAGTTTCTGTCACCCCTATCTGGCTGTTTTTGGGGACATTGCTGTGCCCCAATTGGCTGACACGTTTGCCCACAAAATACAGTTACTCCATTTTGCAGTGATTCCTGTGAAGCGCTTTGGGACATCCTTCCAAAATTAAATGTATCAAATGTAAGGATTATTATTATTACGGCACAGAAAACAGGCATTTGGCCCATCGTGTCTGTGCCAGCGCCTTTAAAGAGCAATCCTTTCCTGCCAGTTTACCGACCTTGAGATACCCTTCAGGGGCATCAAGGTCACTTCCTGCTTTGCACATACACAGCAAAAAGGGAGTGATATAGGTCATGATCTGCTGACCTAGAAGTCAACCATTTCCACCCAAAATTGCCAGTGAATGGGATCCACACTAGAACTGCTTGTTATGAAGAAGCGCATTATAGTAGGGGATGCATTAGAGCATAAAAAATGGAGGAGTCAACTTGTACACTTCAAGGTCCAGCAAATAACAACTTGCATTTATATGCCACCCTTCATGTAGGTTAGAATCTTGGATTGCTGCACAATGACGTGTTTTGATGTCTAACAATGGTGAAGGGATGGGTGAAGTCACCAGAGGTGTGGTTGAAGGGATAGGTCTTCAAGTGGGATTTAACGATAGACAAAGAGGGGTTGAGACAGAGGGATTGAGTTTGAATTGTGTTTGGTTTAATTAATGGTTGATCCCATTGATCCACCTTTGAACAGTGAGTGACCAAATTATCTGGAGGGATTCTAGTCAGGAGAAACTCCTCCATTCTCTTTCCAGATGGTGTCACAGGATTCCATCTGAACAGGCGGACGGGGAGCATAGTTTAACAAGAACAACAACAACAAATTGCATTTGTGCAGCGTCTTTCACACTGGGAGGGCGTCTCAAGGCCCTGGACAATCAGAGATTTGGACTTGAGTAGGCTGTTGGGATCAGGAGGGGTAGAGGGCTGGGAGGGTAGGGGTAAGAGGGTGACCGAACGTGCAGTCAAAGAGGAGGGTCTTGAGACGGGTCGGACGGTGAGCTTCAAGTCCCGATGTGCGGGTTGAACCCACTTCCTTCTGGCTCAGAGGCGAGAGTGCTGCTCACTGAGCCGGGCTGGCATTTCCTTCAGTCCGTCAATAAATCTGCTCTGAAATAACGCTCATTTTTTTGCCTCGGGTGAGCGAGAGGACGGGCGATTTTCTGATTGGAGGTCTTATCAGGACCTTTTCTGAAAGGAAGATAAATATCACGGCAACTCTTTAAGCCATTATTCACTGTGGTTTTATAAGGTTTACAGGAAAAGGAACAGTGTTGTGGTTTGGCGATAACATTGTGGCGCATTACACCATTAGAAACGTGAATATTTTAACACAAGATTCTGCAGTTTTGACATTTGATGAAATAATTTTTCCTTTGCAATAACCCCAACTCTTGATCAGTCACCATGATTACTATTGATTTGGAAATACCTCTGCTAGAGCTCTTTAATTTGTTTCTGACACTGAGTGACTTTTGATAAATTGTGTGTCATGCAACGATAATTCATCTGAAACGTGGAGGGAAAAAGCATTTTTTGCAGGTTTTTGAGAGTGGTTTTAAGAGCAGTGTTAACTCAATGACTGTCGCTCCTGAGCTGGAGTTTATTTACCTTACGACTCGTACATTCATTTGGTCACTCAATCCAGTGGGACACTGCAGTGCGCAATTGGCTGCCACATTTCGCCCACAAATCCACAGTCAATTCACTTTACACACTTTGAGACATCTCAAAGATGTGATAAGACGCTATATCAAATACAAGGATTATTAAGTGCTGCGAAACTCTAGCCCATGTGAAGGGGACTATGTAAATGCAAGTTGCTGTTGTGACACCGAAACCAATTCAATGACATAATAATTCTTATATTTGATATAGAGTCTTTCACATCAGAAGGATATCTTTGTCCTTGTGTTTCGCCCACAAAATCCACAGTCAATTCACTTTACAGTATATTCTGTGAAGCGCTTTGAGATGTCCCGAAGATATGATAAGGCATTTTATCAAATGCAAGGTATTCTTTTATCACATCTTACTGCAACATTCAGCCTCAGACACAGGCGTGCTACCAACAGAGCCAAGTGACATGCATTGCTGAATTATTCCTGGCTTTATTTAATAAAGAAACTGGGATTGGGAAAACTCCTGCCCTTCTCCTCTTACCACCAGACCCACCCCCACTCCTCCCCAACCAGTCTCCCCATTGTGCTTCTGTAAAACCTGCTTTTAATTTGCGTCAAACAGGGTGGATTGCGATGCTGGGTGCAATGTGGCTCCTGGTGCTGGCTGACATCCATGACTTTGAGATAATATTGCACAGGGTGGAATGGGCAACACTTCTCTTCTTCGCAGCCCTCTTCGTGCTGATGGAGGTAAGTCACGTTTATGAGAGGCTACTCATTGTTGCGAGTAAGCCCTCAACATTAAAAGTGAGCCATAAGCTACTCATTAGACACCAAGTCTACAACGTACAACATGTCCTCTGTGGTCAGTGAGTCAGTGATTAGGGGAGGACAGGTTTGCAGGGCTCTGTGGAGAGAGCGGGGGAGTGGGATTGAATTGGATAGCTCTTTTCAAAGAGCCGGCACAGACACGATGGGCCGAATGGCCTCCTTCTGTGCTGTATAATTCTATGATTCTGTGATTAATTTGTTTTTCTCTGACACATGCAGAAACCCCTCACCGTGCTTATGTATCCAAACTGAACTGCGAATTCCAGGCATCCCACCTGCACATGGAAATCCCAGAGACAGGTTGTTGGAATGGAATGCACTCTCTCTCCCTGGAGAGACACGTCCTGTTTACCTAATTCCAGACAATATTAAGTGCAGGTTGGCAAGAACCAAGGCTTGGAGATCCCAAAGTGTGCGTTGGGGTAACTGCTGGAGGCTAACCAGCTAAATCCACAAAACTTGCCATTGAGAGCACTATCTGGCAAGCTTTCCTGCTACTTGTCCAGCTAGGACCACCTTACCTGTTAGAACTTTGGCTTGCAGGGTTAGCAGGAGCTGAGTGGGAGGATTCCCTGCCCCCAGTGACTATAATTAACAAAGGAGCATAGAGGGAGATTCAGAGGTATTTGTGTTACACAGAGAGTTGTTGGGGTGTGGAATGTTCTACCAGGTCAAGGCAGGATCTGTATGAGCTTTCAAAGAGAAGTGGGTGCTGTGTTGATTCACTTATTCAAAGGAAAGAAGAAAAACTGGCTAAACATTTAATAATAATAGAATAATAATCCTTGCATTTAGTATAGCGCTTGGGAGCGCGTCTCAAAGCGCTTCATGGGATATGCAAGCGAGAGACCGGAGTTCAATTCCAGGCAGAGGGCGAAACCTTGGGCAAGTTTCCTTACTCCACACAGAGCCTAATAATAATCCCTCCAAAACCAAAAACAATAATAAATTGGTCATTTTCAATCTATGACTGTTTGTGGGACATTGCTGTGCGCAATTGGCTGCCGCGTTCGCCCACAAATATACAGTCAATTCACTTTACAGTGTGTTCTGTGAAGCGCTTTGGGACGTCCTCCCGACGTGAAAAGCGCTATATCAAATGCAAGGATTATTATTATTATTATATTGCAAAGTGTAGTGACTGTAATAATTGTGGGAGGAAGTGGTGGCTAGTTTTGCACTTAGCAATGTCCCACACACAGCCAGTCAAATGAATGACCACATTTTGTTGAAAGTCCCTTTTTCATTCCATCTTTTTTCTAACCTTATTAATCTAAAGCTCGGCAGAGCGATGCGGAGGTTTGAAGCAAGGAGGCGAAAAGTCCATTTTGACTTCAAATTTAAGTGGATGCAGAATCGAGGAAACTTCTTAAATTCAGTCCTTCCTATCAACAAAATGATCGAACCATAAAATCTTACAGCACAGAAGAAGGCCATTCGGCCCATCGAGACCTGAGCTTTCTCTTTGAAAGAGCTTCCAACTAGTCCCACTTCCCTGCTCTTATGTCATAGCCTTGTAAATAGCTTTCTGTTATGTTTTTAATATAGTGTTATACGACATTTCAATGTGATGAGGCTCTGCATCAATCCAAGGATTATTATGATTATAATATTACTCACTGACTGAGTTGCTACCTCAATTTCCTTTTTTTTGTTCCATTTATAACCCAGGCACTGGCGAATCTGCATTTGATTGACTACATTGGAGAGCAGACGGCCACCTTGATAAAGGTAACTGATAACAATGAGAGGAACTGCCTATTTTCTGAATGTCTGACTTCCTGAATACAGATAATAATAACTCTTTCTCTTGATGTAGTTCTTTATCACATCGTTGAAATGTCTCAAGGCACTTCACAGAGTTTCGCTGCAAAGTGTAGTGGCTGTGTGTCTGTGGGTGCAATGGAGGCATGTCAGCCTGCCTCAGTTGGAGGTTATTCTCGCCTCTGAGTCAGAGGGTGTGCGTTCGTGCCCCATGTCAGGAGTTTGAGCTTATTGTCTGACAGGGCTGAGGGAACCCTACATTATCGGAGATGCTGTTGATTGTGATGAGATTAAAACCAAGATCCCATCTATCTGTTCAGTGGATGTTAAAGATCCCACGGCACGTTTTGTAAAGAGAAGGAAGTTTCTCCCGGTGTCCTGGCCAGCCATCCCCCAAGTAAAATTGGTCCTTCACATCACGGCTGTTTTTACTGCGCGCACATTAGTTGTCACGTTTGCCTACAACATACACAGTCACTATACTTTACAGCAAAATCCCGTAAAGCACCTTGAGATGTCTCAATGACGCGATGAGGCGCTATGTCAAATGCAAGAATTATTATTATAATTAAATAAAAAATAATAATAATAATCATAATTTGGTTATTTAAACCACGACTGTTTATATTATATTATATCAAATGCATTGACTATTATTATTACTCAGTCGAGAGCTGAGCACAGCCACAGCGGGCTCCTGTGTTACGGTTTCTTATTGAGAGTTAACCTGCAGATCAAATGTCTCCACATGTTACCATTTGATCCTCCCAAACCTAATGCTCATTTCTTTCACCTCCAGTCTGTTCCAGAAGACCAACGTCTCACAGTGGCTATTATTCTAGTTGTCTGGATCTCTGCCCTTGCCTCTTCCCTGATAGATAACATTCCTTTCACGGCCACAATGGTAAGTCCTTTGAAGAGATGTTATCTTTTCTTGAAAAAAATCATGGGTCTCAGGAAAGCTTAGGGAAAAAAACGAAGCTAAGTTGCTAAGTTACGGATCCAACCTTCCGGTGTTGAACCTCAGTCTTTCCTTCTTTGTTACCAAGACAACTTTCCGACAATTTGTTCACTTCAGTGTTCATTGCTGGAGGTTCTGACGTTTACCTTTTCCCCCCTCTAAAGATTCTCTCCTTGTGTGGAATTTAATCGAATTCGCCTTCGTTTGCTTCCAAATCTTAATAAAGAAAGAAAAATTTTAGACTTTTACGGTGCTTTGAACATCTCAATGCATTTCCCAGTAATTAGTTTGCAGTGGCAGTTTTTATAGGCAAAAGAGGCAGCCATTTTGCACCGCAAAGTCCTGTAAATAGCCATGAGGTTGCCACTGAAGACTTTTGTTTTGGTCAGCCAGGTGTCTGACACATGCGGAAACCCATCACTGTGCTTAACATTACCCAGAGCATCTCACCTACACATGGAGACTCCAGAGATAGTTTGTTGGAGTGGAATGCGCTCTCTCTCCCTGGAGGGACATCCTGCTTACCTAATTCTATAAAAGTACTAGGGACAGGTTGGCAAGAGCCAAGGTTTGGGGACCCCAGAGTGTTTGGGGTAACTGCTGGAGTCTAACCAGCTAAAACCACATAGCTTTGCCATTTAGAGCACTATCTGGCCAAGCTTCCCCACTGCTTGACCAGTTAGGACAACCTTCCTGTTAGGGCTTTGATTTGCAGCGTTAACAGGAGCTGAGTGAGATGATTCCCTGCCCACAGTGACTGGTTGCCCTTCTAGGTCCTGCTGATGAACCAGGCTGTGCTGTCATCAGCAGGGCCCTGGAACCGCAAACCCACTTGGCTCAGAAACCTGACTCAGGGTTCAGTTCCAAGGAAACACCCACCCACCCCCTTACCTCACTCCCAAGAAGGCTAGTCACTGGATCCTGAGTTGAATGCCCATTTTACTTGGGGGATCGTTAGCCTGGAAACTGGGAGAAACTTCCTTCTCTTTTGGAATAGGAATCTTTAACGTCTACCTGACCAGGCAGACGGGACCTTGGTTTAATGTCTCAACTGAATGATGACACCTATATTACAGGGCTTCCCCCATCACTGCACTGGAGTGTTAGCCGGAACTGTGGGCTCAAAGTCACTGATGGAAAGATGATGGACATGTAGAGCTTAGTGCGGGAGAGGTTACAGGATAGGATAGGAAAGATTGCACACTGCAAGTTGACATCGTTTTCAAGAAAATATAAAATGAAATATTGTTTTCTTAAAAGAAAACTCTGTGTTGTCCATTAGTCCTGGCCAAGAATCCCCCAGATAAAATTGGTTACTCACTTTGTGGCTTTTTGTGGGAACATTGCTGTGTGCAATTTGGCTGTCGCATTCGCCTACAGAGGGCAGAGTTAACTACATTTTACAGTAAATCCTGTGAAACGCTTTGAGATGTCGTAAACGTGAGAGGTGTTATGTCAGATGCATATGTCAAAGCTGCAAGTGCTGCGTGATTGTGTCATTATAGATGCAAACACTCCAAAGCTTGTATCTCCTAAATTGAATATCAAATTGATTTTGCTACTTTGCTGTACGTACAATGTATTATATGTACAGCACAATATTCAGATGAACTTCCATTAATCGTCTTGTCATAAATCATTTACTTGCCTAAGTCATACATGCACCCAAGTCCCACTTAATTTCCTCCAAAAAAAACTTCTTTACACTAGTTGGATTGTACAAGTCGCATAAATGGCCAAGACATGACGATTTCTTGGTCCCAAATAATGTATAGCTTAATGGGAACCATCTCCTAACTCATATCAACTGTGAAGCTCTTTGAGACATCTCAATGACCTGCTATGGCACTATATCAAATGCAAGGATTAGTATTACTATTATGTTATTATCACGACAAACGCATCGAAGAAGTCCTGCAATGTATATTACTACTTTCAAAACCCTATACTAAATTAAGTCATGACCAGGGACACGATTTTATTCGTGGCCGTGAAATTTTAATCCTTTTTTCCTGAGAAAATTACAGAAATCTTAATTTTAAAATTCCTGATACGCCAGACTTGAAATTTTGTATTTGTTATGCCTCAGTGGTATAAAACTGATTTCTGCATATAAGTGCTTCTTTGTGTAAATGTTATGGTCCAGTGCCTTGGGACGTCCTCCCGACGTGAATGGCGCTATATAAATGCAAGTCGTTGTTGTTGTTGGTACGACTCAGGTTTGATTACCTGTGTACATTTCCTTCCTGCCACCTTGCCCTGTTACCGCAACGTTGTTGGGTGAGCTTTGCCTCTGCTCTCTGGAACCCTCTTCCAAAATCCCTCGGTCTCATAAGAACGTAAGAACTTGCAAGGCAAAAGAAGTCCATCTAGTTCGCCTTCCACCATCCTGGCCGTCGCTTGACATGTCGTGTCCCAAACTCTTGTTCTGATAAGAACATAAGAATGAAAGTCTCGCCTGTGCTCTGGTTTCAAGACTCAGCTAAAGACCTATATCTTTGACTGAACACCATCTTCTGCTTCCTATCGCCTCCATTTTCTCTCCCCGCCCTGTTCCCACACTGTTCAGGTTGAGTCGATGTGAAACCCCTTGATGCATTTACTTTTGTGCAGGTGCTAAATCAACACAATTTGTTGTTAATTATATCCTTTTTTTTTTGGTGGGGTGGGGGGGGGGTGGGGTGGTTCCTGCTAGATTCCCGTTCTACTTAATCTGAGCCAGGACGCAGATGTCAACCTGCCTGTGAAACCGCTGATCTTCGCCCTGGCGTTTGGAGCCTGCCTTGGAGGTCAGTGTCAAGCCTCTGTGAAACTCCGCGCGTGTGTGTGTGTCGTGTGTGCGTGATGTTGAACACTCAGTGCGGAGGGGGGGAGACCAATAATAATGAACTTCACCATGAACGGATTCCAGAACATAATGTCCTGCTACGACGCACACTAAACTCCGTACCCCCATCATTCCAGGTGTGTCCAGGCTCCACTGGCTCCCTATCACCGATTCCAAGATCCTCTCACTTGTCTTCAAATCCCTTCAGGGGCTCCCACCTCCCTACCTCCGCGACCTGCTTACCTACCAACCTACTACCCGCTGCTTCCGCTCAACTGGCTCCGGCCTCCTGCTTGGCCTTCTTGCCCTCCAATGGCAGCTACACTTTCAGCCGCTATGCCCCCAAATCCCAGAACACTCTTCCCCCAATCCCTCTTTCCTCTTCGACCGTGCTTACGGTCCACTCCCCACCCCCCCCCCACCTTCCCCTTGGCTCGGTGTCGCACTCCGCCACTGTCAAGCGCTGTGGTACACTACCCTGCGTGAGGGGTGCTATATAAATGCAAGTTGTTGTTGTTGTTGTTGTTGCAGCCGCTGAGCTCCTTCGCAATGGTCTTGTGGGTGTGGGGGTGGCGGTTGAGCGGTGAATTTGACAGCACCAAAAGACTCCCTGGTGAAGTGTCCTCATTATCAATCCAAGCCACCCGTCAGCATGTTAGTCGTCCAATAGACAACAAATCAGGTTTCCCTGTGCCCTTCAGCAGAACGTATAAAAGGCTTATTTTACTTTAACAAGCAAGAATCTGAGACTAAAAATATAAGCCTTATTATGCGTTCCAGTGAACTCCTTCCCAATTGTCCCACAGACAGGACTTAGAGGCTTTGATTGCTCGGGGAAAGGCACATTATAATTAGCTGCGTTTGCTCGTGTTAATTATGTCCAATTAGCATAATTCATTATTTACACCTCAACTTTCATAACGGGACTCTCATTTTTAAATCAAGAGCAGTGATATCAATGGCAGTTTATGTGGTTTCAGCTGGTTAGACTCCAGCGACAACAACTTGGATTTATATAGCATCCTCCACACCGAACGGCGTCTCAGAGCGCTTCACAGCAACGGATCCCGGGGCCGAGTTAGGAGGAGTGGGGAGAAGGTGACCAAAGGTGTGGTCGAAAAGAAAGGTCTCCCTGAAAATGGGAAGGGAGGAAGCGAGACGAAGGGAGTGAGGAAGGCAGTTTCAGAGCCTCGGGGCAGCAGTTACCCCAGCGCACATTCTAGGGGTCCCCAAGCCTTGGGTTTTGCCAACCTGTGCCTAATACTATCTGGAATTAGATAAGCAGATTGCGTCCCTCCCGGGGAGAGAGTGCCCATTCCAATCCAATAAATATCTCTGGAATTTCAACGTGTGGGTGGGATGCAAGGAATTCTCAGTTTGGTCTGGAAACTCTTAAGCACGGGGACGGGTTTCCACACGTGTCGGACACCCGACTGATCCAAACAAAATCCCCTACAAATACAAAGTCACTACACTTTACGGAAAACACTGACACGTTCTGTTGATAAAAGGCACTGTATCAAACTCAATAGGTATTATTCCATTGAAAGGCGAACTATTTTCCCCTCATTCGTACCTGGAATGCTTTCTTTTTTTAAGTTATTTTCTTCCCCGTAAAATAAAGTCGAGCTGCGCAAATCGGCCGCAAATCTGCGGCAAACAGGAGGAAACTAACAGACGAGTTACAGCAGTGTGGCCCTCATCACCTCGCTGTGTCAGCACTCATTGATCGAGGGGCCTGATGGTATCGCTGCTGATTGCTTTCTCTCCCAGCCGCGCGCAGTGGATAGACTGCGTAAGACTGGCACCTGTTTGAGCAGAGATTCATTGATTGTGCGTACTTGGTGAGGCAGACGCAGAGTCCTGCAGGGAAGTGGGGTGATGGGAATTAACAGCACAGCCCGTGAGCATTCTTGGTCCAACAAAGGTCTAATTTGAAAGGAAAAATTGAACGCCGGGGCTCGGAAATGGCATCTCTTCCTCGCTGGGAAAACAACCCCATTGTCCCCCTGGACAAAAGGACAAGGAGAGGAGCATCTGCCGAGATGCGATTCATTTCAGAGCACCTCACACTCCGAGACTCACGAATCGCAAATAGATAAATATATGAACTTGTGGGGAGTGGGTGGGGGTGGGTGGGGGTGGAGATGGAATTGGAATGCGCTGAATGCGTAATTGACTGAGCAGGTTAGCAGTGAAGCAACACTACAGGACCTGTACTCTGCATGATATCGCGCATATAATAGCGCAAAGCTGCTTAACCCAGAGGATGCAAGAGTTTCAGCATTCTGCCGTCTCCACCACAGTCCGGGCGTGTTTAAGGCAGCGAGAACATACCTTTGTGTCAGCGAATGTACCAGACATTTTACTGCTACGGCCAGAAACCTATCTCCAAGCTAAGAGTCCTGTAGCTCAGTAGTTAGAGCACTCGCCTCGCAAGCGAGAGGACCTGGGTTCAATTCCCCTGCAGACGATATGCCAGGCAAGTTTGCTTACTCCACACACCTCTGTTTACATAGTAGTAAGTAATTACCCGGTTGTTAGTCGAGTGGCGGATCGCTTTTCCGGGGGTAAATAATCCCTTCAAAAATAAATTTGGTCACTCAATCCATGACGGTTTGTGGGACACTGCTGTATGCAATTGGTTGCCGGTTTCTCCCACAAAATATACAGTTAATTCACTTTTCAGTATATCCTGTAAAGCGCTTTGAGACGTCTCAAAGTCTTGAAGACGTCAACAGCCGCTATATCAAATGCAAGGATTATTATATTATTAAGAGTATCCAAACCGGTCTGAGAGTTCCACATATGTGTACCTACAAACAGAATTTACACTAATAATAATAATAAAATAACCCTTGCATTTGATATAACTTCTATCACATCGGGAAGACGTCTCAAAGCACTTCACAGGAATTATTGCAAAGTATAACTGTATGTTTTGTAGGCAAACGCGACAGCTAATTTGCTCACATGCCCTACAAATGGATCATATGAGCAACTGAACAATGGGAAGTATTCAAAAAAAGTATTTGATGCAATACTCAACAATTACATATCCCTGAAACGCAAAAGCTTCAATCGTGTAGTTAAGTGTGTGGTGGACAAAAGAGGTTAGAGACCGTCTCAAGCTAAAAGCAAAGGCTTACTCAAATGTAAGAAAAAATGTGAATGCAGAGGATTGGGAGAACTACAAAAGGCAACAAAGGGTCACAAAGAAAATAAGAGGAGCAAAAATGGAGTATGAAAAAAAACTTGCAAGGGATATTAAAACCAATAGTAAAAGCTTTAATAAGTATATTAAGAGAAAGAGAATGGTCAAGGGGAATGTGGGTCTGTTAAAGACTGATGTAGGTGAGACTAAAACAGGAAATAAGGAAATGGCTGACTTGTTAAATAAATACTTTGCTACCGTTTTTACAGCAGAGGATCAGTCGTACAGGGGAACCTACAAATAAGTCAAAAAGAAATGCTCAATATAAATTTAAAAAATGGTAATGGAAAAAATAATGAGATTTAAGATATCAAGACAGGCAAACCTCCAGGACCTGATAGTTTCCACCTCAGGTGCTAAAGGGAATAGGAGAGGAAATTGCATATTGCATTCGTCATAATTTTCCAAAGCTCACTGGATTTGGGAATTGTGCCCTTAGATTGGAAAATGGTGAATGTCACCTCTTTATTGAAGAAGGGAGGGAGGGAGAAACCAGGAAACTACAGACCTGTCAGCTTAACGTCAATCATAGGGAAAATACTGGAATCCATCATCAGAGACAGAGTGACTGAACACTTGGACAGGTATGAGCTCGTCAAAGAGAGTCACGTGGGTTTGTGAAGGGGAGGTGGTGTCTGACTAATCTCGTTGAATTCTTTGAGGAGGTCACTAAAACGGTGGATAAGAGAGTGTCTATGGATGTCGTTTATATGGACTTTCAGAAGGCATTTGATAAGGTTCCACACAAAAGATTATTAGCGAAAATGGAAGCGCGTGGAGTAGGAGGTAACCTTGTGACGTGGCTTGGAAATTGGTTGGAAGGTTGGAAACAGAGTAGGGATAAAGGGAACCTTCTCTGTTTGGCGGGACATGGCAAGTGGTGCTCCCCAGGGGTCTGTACTGGGACCCCAGCTATTCGCCATATATATAAATAACTTGGATGAAGGAATAAAAAGTTTTCTATCCAACTTTACAGATGACACTAAGCTAGGAGGCACAGTAAGTTGGGTAGATGGGAGTAGGACTTAGACAGATTAAGTGAGTGGGCAAAGCTGTGGCCGTGTCCTCTCCCGCACCAGGCTCCGTGACCCTATTACCCCCATCCTCGCCTGACTCCACTGGCTTCCCATCACACAGAGGATACAGTTCAAGATCCTGGTCCTCACCTTCAAAGCCCTCCACGGTCTTGCTCCCCTGAACCTCTGTGACCTCCTAACCCCCTACCCACTCCCTCCACTCGGGGCTCCGGCCTGCTTCACGTTCCCTGCCCGGGCCTTCTGTCACTCTGCCCCCACCCTCTGGAACTCCATCCCTGTAGTTCCTCTGCCTCACCCCCTCCCTTGTCTCCTTCAAGACCCATCTCAAGACCCTCCTCTTTGACCATGCTTTCGATCACCCTGCTTCCCTCCACCCTCCCCAATCCCGACTCCCAGCTCGGGTCTGAAACACTGACTGTCCAGCATGTTGGGATGTCCTCCTGACGTGAAAGGCGCTATAGAAAAGTAATTTTGTTGTTATTGTTCTAAACAGCCATGAAGTTAACCACTAATTTTATCAAGGGAGTAGTTGGCCAGGACACCTATCTCTTACCTATCTACTCTACTCTGCCCTTAATTACCCATTTTGTTGCCTACCCCTTCCATTATCTTCTTCACTTTTCGTTCCCTCTGATCTGCCCCTTTCACTTCACCTCCCCCCTTACCTCCTCCTTCTCTTAACTTCCCTAATTCTTACACCTAACTTCCTTCCCACACTTACACATTGCTGTGCGCAATTGGCTGCCGCGTTCGCCCACAAATATACAGTCAATTCACTTTACAGTGTGTGCTGTGAAGCGCTTTGGGACGTCCTCCCGACGTGAAAAGCGCTATATCAAATGCAAGGATTATTATTATTATTACCTCCCTCTTCGTTTACCTGAGCTGCTGGCCTGGCTTCATAAATAATAATCCTTGCATTTGATATAAAGACTCATCTCGTCGTTGAGACGTCTCAAAGTGCTTCGCAGTACATGCTGTAAAGTGGATTGACCGCATATTTTGTGGGCTAAATGCGGCAGCCATTTGCACACGGCAGTGTCCCACAAACAGTTGTGGATTGAGTGACCAATTTTTATTGTTATGGGAGGATTTATGATCCCTGGAAAATGATCCAACTAACACCGGGTTTCTACTGACTGCTAAGTAAACAGAGGTGTGTGGAGTAAGGAAACTCTCAATCATAAAACTTAGCTTCTCATATTCCTTGGATCTTTTGATTTCTCCTGAACTTTCTGTGGGCGTTGAGGTGGTTCCCATGGAACCTTATTTCAAACAATTTATTTTCCTCCAGGTAACGGCACATTGATCGGAGCCTCCGCTAACGTGGTGTGTGCTGGCATCGCAGAGCAGCACGGCTATGGCTTCTCCTTCATGGCATTTTTCAGGTAAAACTTTATTATCTGTGGGTGTTTTGTACGTGAATGTGTGTAGAAGTACACGCGGCTGTATGTTTATAGTGCTCACGTTCAGTACAGAATGTATATGTTGTTTATCGAGGGCTTTCTTCATTCAAACCCATTTTGTGATTTAACGCTGTATCTAATCCATGTGTTTAACGCTACAAATCTCATGTCGGGAGTACAAAGCACTTCACAGGATTTACTGTCACAGACTGTGCATTCGTAGGAGAACACAACCGCTAATGTGCACATAGCAAAGCCCCACAAACAACCACAAGCGAATGACTTGAGGGAATGTCGGTTAGGACACCAGGAGAAGCTCGATTCTCTGTTTGAATTGTGCTGAGGGATCTTTAACCTTGGTTTAACGCCTCATCCAACAGACATCACTTCGGATAAGGCAGCGCTCCCTGCAGCATGGTATTAGAGTGTCAGCATGAAAGATGGCTAAACAGAAAAGACTTTTCTGCCCATCATGTCTGTGTCATTGTTTAGCCCAAATCTCTTTCTTTTCATGATAATCATAACGTTGATAATTATCCTTGTACTTGACACAGCCCCTGATCTCGTCTTCGAGACGTCTCAAAGCGCTTCACAGAATATACTTTAAAGTAAATTGACTATATATTTTGTGGGTGAAATGTGGCAGCCAATTGCGCACAGCAGTGTCCCGCAAACAGTCGTGGATTGAGTGACCAATTTATTATTATTTCCTAATCATCAATGCCACCCCCCAGTTCTCATGCCACATCCCATCATGTTTTTTGTTGCTCGGGTGCTTATCGAGTTCCGTTTTGAACGATTCTGTTGATCCAGCCCCCAAAATTAGGTTAAATGTCACAATTAGTGCCTTTCACTATAAACAACCCCTGTTGTGAGCGAGAGAAGGGGTGAAGAGAGAGAAGAGAGAGACTCAAACACATTTTCAGTGTAACTATTCACCAGATAATTCACCCAAATTAATCTAATAGTTAGATTTTTTAAACACTATTTTTTTCGGCACCAAATAGAAAATTGTTACATTCCTTAATTGTTCCATTAAGTGCATGGGAGCCCGAGCATTCCCATATCAATGCATAATGAGTCAAATCACAACCCTTTCTGAAAAGAGATCATTAATATGCTTGAATGAACTTGGGAGCGAGTGAGTGGGAGAGATTCCATTGTCTAAAGTGTTTAGAGTCTCCCTAAGGTTATAGCTGATTAACTCTCGATGAGGGTTGTATATAGTCAACCCCAAGCCATTTGCAATGTGTTATTGAAGCATTTAGCAAGACCAATGTGATATCAATTAGCGGTTTTCACACATGATGGTATCTTTGTTAATTACCTTCTGTGCAACTTCCCATAGCACAGCTTTGAATAGTAAGAGGAGGATGGGCAGATAATAATAATAATACTCCGTGCATTTGATACAGCGCCTTATCACGTCATTGAGACGTCTTAAAGCGCTTCACAGAATATACCGTAAAGTGAATTGACTGTGTATTTTGTGGTCGAAACATGGTAACCAATTATTATTGATAATAATAATCTGGTATGTAATGCTACAACTTTTACATTGGCAGGGAGAGACGTTGGGCAAGTCTCCTTACTCCACACGCCTCTGTTTACCCAGCAGTAAGTAGGAACCCGGTTGTTAGTCGACTGGCGGATCGCTTTTCCGGGTGTAATAATTCCTTAAAAATATATGAAAAAAATTTGGTCGCTTCTATCCACGACTGTTCGTGGGACGCTGCTGTGCGCAATTGGCTGCCGCGTTTCGCCCACAAAATATACAGTCGATTCACTTTACAGTCTATTCTGTGAAGCGCTTTGAGACGTCTCAATGCCATGATAAGATGCCACATCAAGTGCAAGGATTATTATTATATTATCAGGAGTACAAAAAACTTCACAAAGCAACAATCTAACGAGGGTGTGTGTGTGGGGGGATGTGTGTGTGGCTTTAACAGGAATCCCTGTAAATTCATTAACAATAATAACCCTTGCGTTTGATATTGCGTCTATAACCTCAAACATCTCAAAGTGCTTCACAAAGTATCTGTGAATTTATAATAATAATAATAATAATAAGCCTGTAGGCGAACAAGCCCGTGATCATGTGTGGATCGACATTTCAGATGAAAGGAAGCAATGAGTATTTGATCGCCTCAGTAGGTGCTTATCCGCCGGCTTCTGAAAGGATTTTTTTGTCACTAAATCTTTTAAAGCTCGTTACTTTCAAGCTGCTGTTGTTGCTCGCAGGATTCTGATCGTATATCCGATGCACTCACATCGCATACACTTAGTGTTCTCCCAAATTCAGGGGGTGAGGGGGGGGGGGTGAGGTGGGGGGAGTCTGTCTGTCTGTCATGAGGGAGGCACTAGTCATAGAACTATAGAAAATTACAGCACAGAAGATGCCGTTTGTCCCATTGTTTCACCCACGAAATATAGAGTCCATTCACTTTACAGTATATTCTATGAAGCGCTTTGAGATGTAATAAAGTCAATTGCAAATATTATTATTGTTGTTGTTATCGTTGTTATTTCTGTGCTGCCTCTTTTAAAGAGTAATCCTTTCAGTCCCATTTACCTGCTCTTCCTCCTTCCACCCACCTGCTCCTGTCATTTACTATGTTATATGTAAATATCCAGTTCTCTTTTGAAATCTAACAATAATCGAATAATAATTCTTGCATTTGATATAGCGCCTTATCACGTCGTTGAGATGTCTCAAAGGATACACTGTGAAGTGGATTGACTATGTATTTTGTGGGAGAAATGTGGCAGCCAATTGCTAGTATTGATATTAAAGTCGATAAAGAGTTTGTTAATTAAGGATCGGAATGATTTAGGAATACTGCACTTTTAACCCCAGTCACACAATATATGATAACATTGAACTCGTTTGTTAAAGCTTCTTATGTGGCACTTTATCTAAAGCCTTTTGAATATCCTTCAGCACCATGTCAGCTGCATTACCTTTATCTATTCTCTTGTTTATTTCATCAAGGAACTCTCTCTCTCTCTCCCCCTCTCTCAACCTTCCGTAGTCTGTGTCCACAAAATATACACAATCAGTCCACTTTACAGTATATTCTGTGAAGCGCTTTGAAGACATCTCAACGAGGCACTATATCAAATGCAAGGATTACAGTCTGTGTAACACACTCTCACCTCCCTGTATTATGCACTGTATAATGCAGTGTATTCTGTGAAGTGCTTTGAGATGTCTCGAAGACATGATCAGGTGCTATATCAAATGCAAGGATTATTATTATTACAACACACTAAGTTACCTGTAGTCTATGTAACACATTCTCAGCTGTCTGTAGTGTGTAACTCACTCTAAGGTGCCTGTATTGTGTATAATGACTCCTCTCAGCTGTTTGTAGTCTGTGTTACACTCTCTCAGTTGTCCGTATTATGTAGAACACAACTCTCAGCTGTCTGGGATCTGTTTTAAGCACTTTATGACATCTGTTTCCATCAGTTGCAGGCCGCTGGCAAATGCTACACGATTTTCTGCATGGTTGGTCGGTTGGTTTCTGTAATTGTTCTTTAAAGTTTTGTTATTTAGCAATTTGACATGAAAAGGTTAAGCGATTTTAAAAACCTCTAATTATTTCTTCTGGGTGGAAAGTCTCAGCCAATAAGGCATATTATTATTATTATTGCTATTGCTGTATTATCACTGGAATCTTTCACCGGAGTATTGGCCGGCAACTCTCATTGTGAGTGAACGATTTGACACTATTTCCAGCTGATCCAAAACTCTGCCGCTCGCATAATCACCCGCACTAAACTGTCTACCCCCATCATACCGGTTCCAGCCAGGCTCCACGCTGGCTGCCTCTTGCCGAACAGATCGATTGAAGACCAAACTCATCTTCAAATCCTTTCGTGCCCTGACACCTCCCGACCTCTCCACCCAGCTCCGGCCTTCTGCATGTCCCCCGTGCCCTCTGTTCCGCCATCGGTGGCCGCGCTTTCAGCCACTACCACCCCAAAACTCTGGACCACTCTTCCTCTATCCCTCCGCCCTGTCCCTTCCTCCCCCAACCTTGCCAATGGTCGCCCTCCCTCTCCCCCTGGCTCGGCTTTGTGTCCCGTCACTGTCAAGCGCTCTGGGACGCTACCCTGTGCGAGGGGCGCTATGTAAATGCTATATAAGTTGTTTGTTGTTAGTTCCAGAGAAAAAAGTTCATCTGATCCTGGCAGCAGAAGTCACTGCTTTTACTTTAAAACTACTTTGATTAAGATGTCAGGTTGGCTCAGTTACTAGCACTCTCAGCTCTGGGTCGGAACATTGTAAAATTCCCCTATTCCACACTGGGATTATATAATAATAATATTAATAATAATCCTTGCATTTGATGCAGTGCCTTATCATGTTATTGAGACGTCTCAAAGGGCTTCACGGGATATACTGTAAAGTGTAGTGACTGTGTATTTTGTGAGCGGAACGAGGCAACCAATTGCGGACAGCAGTGTCCCACAAACAGCCGTGTATTGAGTGATCAATATTGCAAGTCTGCTGCCAACAATCTGTTCATTAAAATATCATATCCGTTTAGGCTCAGAAGGAGGTCTGTGTTTGTTTTAGTGGAGCTATTTACTGTAATCTAATTTCCCCGCTCTTTCCCCATTTATCCATTAGGATCTTCATTCTCCATTTCGTTCAACAACTTCAGTCACCAACAAATCTGGAAAATTCTAAACTTCAGTTATGTTTTGCAAATGGGTTTTTCTGCATTTAGATTTCATGTAAAACTCTAAAATTAAGACTGGTTTTCAAAAAGAATTTCCCACATTTTTTTTTAACGCATTTTAAGACCAAATGTTTTTACGGGCTAAAACTAGCGTCTTGTACAGATTTCCCTTCGCAATTTTGCTCGACGTTTGCCTGATCAATGGAAGTTACTTAAATTACAGAAGAAAGATCTATGACTTGTGCTTGAGTAATTTACTTGTAAAACATTAAAACGCAAGTAACATTA